CACATTACCTCCTTCATACCGTTACTCAAAATTGGGGAACTATGACCCCTTTGTTGTGGTAGAGCTATACAATTACACACAGTATAAACGTTTTATACTCATTAAATTATTCCGACTAAACTTTCCAGTAAACATAAAAGCATAACAACCTGTAACATATTTAAAATTTTTTAAAGTGTTCACATTTATCCTACATACAGAGTTGTAAATGTGTCAAAATATTTTCTACTATCTGCAACTCGCCTTTGGATATCATTCCCGGCACACACGGAGAAAAAAAAATTACCGGAAGCTCTAGTTTTCAAAATATAGTTCTTAATACCACATTCAGTAAAAAAACACAAAACACCGTGTTCTATAAGGTATCGTGATAACTAAATTTTGCCCCCTTTACTGAATTTTATCACATATTGCAAAACCGTACTTTATTATTAATTTTACCAAAATAATCAAAGTGCTTTTGGTAAAAAGTAAAGAGGTTTTTGTTGTTCCCACAGAACCAGAAACAAGGTAAGTTTTACCATTTACCATTTTCTGATAGTTTTGACTAAATTCTTGTTCTCAGTTCCCGAACTTTTTAAGAAATACCAAGGCCTTGTGAGGTTAAACGCAAACATTTGTCACTAAAATGGACAAAACAGAAAACAAATCTTGGGAAGAGATCTGGTGAATAAGAGGACTATTCTCGGGCTTAAAAAAAATCAGGAAAATACGCATTACTTAATTCGTAAGTGCGCTTGGTTTTGTGTCCTGTAGCGGAATACAGTTGAAAAAAAAATTTATCGACCAAGAAAGCGTAGCAGATTCCAGAATGACATTAAAATGAGTTAAATGCTTTAAAAATATTTGCTTTCAAAGTTAACGCAAGTTTTTTTCCTACCTGTAAATACGCAATCTAGATCTACATTTCATAGTATGATAATACATTACAAAAGAGCAGCGATGGCTCAGTGGATGGAGCATTTGTCTTCCAATGAGGTGAACCGGGTTCGAATCCCAGCGATGGCTCAGTGGATAGAGCATTTATCTTCCAATGAGGTGAACCGGGTTCGAATTCCAGCGATGGCTCAGTGGATGGAGCATTTATCTTCCAATGAGGTGAACCGGGTTCGAATCCCAGCGATGGCTCAGTGGATAGAGCATTTATCTTCCGATGAGGTGAACCGGGTTCGAATCCCAGCGATGGCTCAGTGGATAGAGCATTTATCTTCGAATGAGGTGAACCGGGTTCGAATCCCAGCGATGGCTCAGTGGATAGAGCATTTGTCTTCCAATGAGGTGAACCGGGTACGAATCCCAGCGATGGCTGGTCGATACGAATCTGCACCCGGTTTGCATCGACCACAATGCTGACGTGAAATATCCTCAGTAGTAGACGAATCATGAGTTAGAGTCCGTTTGCCGTCAGGCTAACCTTGAGAGGTCCTCGTGGTCTTCCTTACCATGTAGCGCAAATGCCGGTTAGTTCCATCAAAAGTCCTCCTCGAAGGTAAATTACTCCCAATACTTGATCCAGGAGTTCACTTTTTTTTCGATTGGGTTCAAAACTACAAGGCTACTTAGTTGAGCACTAGTAGTTTGTAAACCTAAAAATTGGGTCGGCTGTTCAACGACTTTTATAAAATAAAATAAAGAAATATATTACAAAACAAAACCGTTTAAAAAACGTCTTCTTAGGAGTGTGGGAAAAAGGCAATTTCATAAAAATAAAAACCAATCGCACGTGCAATTAACCCTTACTTCTTCTTAACAAGACGGATTTAAAAGACATGACAAATAGTTTTTCTTGATAATAACCTCGTGACATTGAAAGGGAAGGTATGAATAAGTAAGAAGTTTTCCGCTCCAAATATTATTCAGACCGAGATGGAAAAGGTAAAAAGGAAAAATTATTTTTCATTGATGTTTCCCTAGACGACGTGTTGGGGAAAAATTGCTTAATACTATCGATTTTTCTGTGCAAGCGGACATCATAACAATTCGGCATTATTGCATTAAACCGCTTAGGTTTAGTGTGTGCCCCATTTCAAAATGTTAATTATCTGTATTTTAGTAATATAGGACGAATAAATCAGCAACTGACAGTGAAAAAATATACCCAATGGTTTATTTTTAAAATTGTTAATCATATGTTAATAAAAAAACCAATGTATTTCGAAATATTTCATTCAGAATGGAAATTTTTTTTTCGTTAAAAAAAAATTATTCCAAAATTTTAAAGGGATGAGGTATTAAATATTATCTACTCAAAAGTATTTAGTGCACAATTTAATTTTTTTAATTTTTAAAGAAATTGGTTGAATAGTTCCTGAGAACTTGAATTTTAAAAAAATCGCATATTTAAAATTCGTTTTCTCACACATTTGACCGACTTTTCTCGAATTTTGTATTTTGCCATGTAAAAGTGCTTTCTTTAAAATGATATAAAAAATGTATATTTTACAATTTAAAGTGTCTTCGAATCTTATTATTAAGGGGACCGGAAAGTTATGTCGTTTCAGTGCACTTGATATTTGTTATCTAGATTTTATTTTTAATCAATAATGTATTCACCCTCGTTACCAGCAACCATTCGAATAGAACAATTTAATTGAATGGATCGAAAAAATTAAAAGTGGCGAAATACGTAAAAAGTTAAATTAGCATTTAGAGTACAAACTTAGAATCACTCTCCTAACCAAACTATGGGGACCATATTTCCCAAACTGCAACCGTAAAATATTCTCAGTGCTAGTCGGATCACGGGTTAAAGTTACCTTGTCGTCAGGCTAACCATGAGAGGTTTTTATGACTTTTCTCTCCATGTAACGCGATATTATTACAATCGACTAATTCAGAATCACGCATTTGAGTATTTAAACTTTCTTACTTTCATAAATATTTAATATTTACCGTTCAATGATCTTTTGTGTGTGCACTGTTCAGTCGGAAAAAAAGGGTTATCCTTAAAGGGTCAATAAGTTACCCAGCAATGCTTATGTTGAATTTTCTGCAACACAAAATGCATTCAGCCATCACTTTAAAAAATGCTTTTATAAATCATGATTTTGCAATTACTATTTTTTGAAACTAACAAATTTTGCAACATGAAATCATGCCCTGGTTATATGTACTATTATCCTAAGTAAATCGAATCAACTATTGATATCCATCACGCTAAGCTTCTTTCTTAATTTAGCTTTGTTTGTTGCCATAGGAAATAGAAGTTGACATTCGTGACTTAATGTCGTTTTGATGACAGTCACAATAAACTGTATATTTTATTGCTAAGAACAAAAAGCAAGAATATTTGAAGTATAGAACTTGAACTTAAATTTTTATACAGTAATAACTGTTTCCTAGGACAATTGACTGTTGCTTTTCTATTGCGTAATTAGCCATGTTTAGAAGCTGCTCTTTCTATTATGAAAGCCCAATTATCGGATTTTCGATTATGAGGATTCCATTTGTGTTAACAGGAAAAGGCTGCTTTTATTTCATACGGCCCTGGTGAACGCACAGACCACGTATGACCCACTGAAATGTCAATTGCGACCATCTGCGAGGATATTGTGAATTTTTTTAACATTTGTACACACTCATTTTTCTATATTTTTACGAACAATACTAAAAAAATTTACATAAATTAAATTTATATATATTATATTTATGTAACAATCTAATTAAAGTGAATTTTATTTTAGTTTCTAATCATACTTTTTTTCTTTATTTATGTTATTCCCATTATTAATATTATAATTTAGACAATTTGCTTCACCTTTGTTAAGATTTTATAACATTGATTTAAAAACAGAGGATTTTCAAGCAATAATTTTTTTTTTGTGTGTGTACTTATCGAAAATAAGAAAACATTAAATGAAATAGATAGGAACTTTTGTAGAAATTTGCCTACAATATAAATTGCGTGTGTTTTTAACCTTGAATTTCATTTTTACTGATTGGAGATATGAAACAATCTAAGGGAATTCCTCCAATTAATATGTTGAAATAATTCGTGGAAAAATGCTCTGTTAAGGAAATTATAATCGCTATTCATTTACTTGGTTACAAACGATTTTCCGTGGTTCCTTACTGCTACTGCCGTAGGTTTTCTTTATATGTAGGTGATAAAATATGGACGAGATCACATATAACCTACAAAATACTTTTATTCAAATCTTCATTGCGTCTATTTAGATTACATATGTCATTTCTTTTGCTTCTATATTCGAAACAACAGACTGTTAACTTTTTCTACACCATTTAAAAGGTAGGACAAATTTAAATTTTTTTTCCATGGATTTTTAAACAGGGCTTTTCTCTTGAAAATCCCGAAAAAAAAATTCTATCTGTGGTATGTCTGACCGTGCATGATTCATAACTGTGTCGTAGATAACGATTATTGATTACAACAAGTGATGAATAAATAGTAAGAGAAGATTAAAATGAAAACATTTTTCATGAAAAGGAAGAGAATTAGTATAGAATATTATTCCAACATAACATTTAGTGACAGTAGAAGCCTAAGGGAAATTCACTTATGAAATTTAAGTTATTCAAATGATTTCAATTTTTTATGTAGTTTTGTAATTCACGGCGGTTTAAACTTTTTTTCTTAACCTTATTGAATTTTCAAAAATTAATGGTTCATTATTTCTTTTTTCCCATTGAAATTTTCAATTTTATTCTGCCTTTATTTTTCACAATTTTGAGCATGCTTGATAGTTATCTAATGTAATTGTATTTGTTTTTATTGTTGACTGGAAGTATGCACGTAACAGCCTACTGACGTATGTATTACGCATTTATTTAGAAAAAGTTATTTAAGCCTGTTTCATAATCTCAATTGATTTGTTGTATTTATTTTTAATTTAAAACACGGTCAAAATATAACACTGATTTTTCTCTATCTTATTGTAAAATTTTTGAATTTAACCGCATATTAATGTAATAAAAAAAATCTTAACTTTTATGATTTTAAAAAAATGATTGTTTTAATAGTTAAAACCTTTTTCTTTCAGATGGCACGTGAGAAAGTAGACGTTTTGCAGTGGCGTTATCCGAGCCAATATCAAAATGCCTGCTGCTCGAGTGTCACCTGTTAACAGCAACAACCATTCTAACCCTGCCCTGCAGGCCCTGAGAAATTCCACATGCAGCTCTAGTTCCGAATGCCCTTCATTACAAGTTAGTTAAATCCATTTGATGAAAAAATTAATTGAAATCCATGACTCACTGATAATATTTTTAAACATTTTGTTGTAACTAAACTTCAAAACTTACATATTTATGCATAATGCATATTTCTTTTTAATATCTAATTCTTAGTATAGGGGTAGATTAAATGATACATCTGGTTTCGGAGGATTGTTTATTTACAAGTATACGACGTGAAAAGATGGGTCCTAGATGGAAAAATGCGTACGCTCATCGAGTTTTAAGTACAACAAATGCTCAATGTTCACACCTTTAGCCACCCGGCTTACATCTAAACACTAACCATATTTGCCCCTTTCTCAAAAAAAGAACTGCAGCATTGCTAGACATTGCGTTTTGGTGCGGATAATGTATCTCTAGTGCCATAGCCCTCCAAGTCACCATATCTCGCACGATGTAGTTGGAATATGTGCTAGCTGACCAAAGAGGGGCACATTGAACATTTATTGAAGCAGGGCACATTGAACATTGAAGCAGGAACTTGAGAAGGATATAATGATTGATGAATTTTGATAATCAATGAAAAAAGAATGGAACGGAGTATTGTTTGTGGCATAATGCTTGGAAAAATTAAGAATTTCATCTTACCAAATTGCACATTTGTTAAACTTCTCGCCAATAGATGGCCCCGCTGGCATGCAAAAGCTGCAGAGAAATTGGATTCGTGACACCCCCATGTCGGCATTTCGCAATTAGTCATTGAGCGCTTGTAATGGATTTTGATGATGCAATTGCAATTGTTTGATGATGTTTAACCAAATGTACAAGTGTGCACGGTTTAGCAGCAGATATTTATGGTTTTGGAGTATCATTGCCTTGAACACACCTGTATACAGATGACGATGCACAGTTTCCAAAGAAAGCTAAACTATATGTGCAATTTGATGGGAAAAAATCCCCTAATTTCCCAAGCATAATGCCGCAAATCATACATTTTTTTAATTGCATTTCGTTTTTCCTTTAATGGTTTGGAAGTATTTCAAGTTTGCTTCCCAAATTTTTTAGTTTCGTGGGGTAAAATTCCCTAATTTCCCAAGCATAATGCCCCACACCATACTTTTTTTCGCATTTCGCCTTTTCCTTATTGGATCAGAAATATTTCAAATTCATTTTCCACAAAGTAAAATTTTCAAATTTAATGGGATTAAATTCCTTAATTTTTCAAACATAATGCCCCACACCATACTTTCTTTCGCATTTCGTTTTTATCTTAACGGTTCGGAAGTATTTTAAATTTACTTCCCACAAGGTAAAATTTTCTAATTTAGCAGGATAAAATTCCTTAATTTCACAAGCATAATGTCGCAAACCATACTTCTTTATATCGCATTTCGTTCTTCCTTTAACTGTAAGTCAGAAGTATTTCAAGTTTACTTCCCATGTGGTATAACAACAAAAATTGTCTATATTCAATTAATTTTGAGTATGATAAATGTAAGAGTGATACGAAAAATAATTGAATTTTGACGCTATATGGGTGGCCTTGGGCCCAATAAGTAAAAGTGCAATGCCGTTAATATGGTAGCGTGGTTCATTAAGGATTAATGTGCATATGACTATATCATATGTTCTCAAAATTGATAACGGGAAGACTAACAAAAATTGTTTTCGAATTTAAGTTGATGACTATATATGGAAGAGCAAGGGTAAAAAAGGGAAAAGAAATAAAACTGAACAAACTCTGATTAAAGACCAGTGAGTTTAAATTTATTTTAAATCAAAGCATGATTCGCCAATTTAGATTGTCGCTTTTTGTAGGAAAAATAAGCTACCAAATGAAGTTATTGCTTTTTGATAATTTAATTGAATATCTGTCATTAGGATTCTCCATATTTTTCTTTATAACCTAAACTTTAAAACCATTGCAGCTGTTGATAAATTATTTTTTAATTTTATCCACTATCAGAAAATTTCTGATAGCTTCAAATTACCAGCGTTATTTGGTATCGTCGTATGCTTCATAAAGTATTGGCATTGATTTCCTGTATGGAAAATGCTATTATCTAAATCAAGGGATCATCCAATTTTTTAGATAGGAAGAGCCATCTCTTATTTAATTATGCGCCATTTTTAAATTTAAATACTTTTAAAACTTTAATACTATTTAAATACTGAGCCATTTTTTAATTTAATATTGCTCAAAATTGAAGCTTTAAAATTATTTACGATGCTTCACGGAGCTTTCGTGAGGAAGTTGCAACTATGGACTCAGCAATGCACGGCATCATCTTTGTTTTCATATGTTCTTTTTAATTTAAATTATTATGATTATCATTGTAATAGTTGAGTTACTCAGCATTTTTATCGTGACGCCAAAACTAAATCAATTCATTAAATAAAAAAGCTTATCTAATTTTCTTTTTATACTATTTACCTGAAAACAGCGCTCCGTTGGATAGTTACAAACTTCGATATCCCTACAGGGTATATTTGTTGACAAATAATCTTTGACCACTGATAACATTATCTTGAACAAGTGTCCTTCATCATTTATCCCAATTTCGATGTTGGTCGAAGGGATATTAGTAACCAGAAAAATGTTCTTTGTGCCGAAGTACATTCCTTCCTTTGTTACATTGGTATTTCATGTATTTTCACTCTTATCCTTTCATTTAATTTAGTTTCTTATCAGATAATTATTATCTCTTTTTGTCCCTTGTTTTTTTAATTCGATGTTAAAGTTTATTGTGTTCAGTGATAAAACTTGTTATATATTTGTCACTCAATTTTATTAAACATCAGTAAAAGCTTTGCTTTAAAAAATTTTATATTCCACAAAAAATATTTTTCATAGTCATAAAATAAAATTAAAAAAATGTCTTATCTATTCGAAACTTAACTTTACTAAACAATGCTTATTAATGTTAAGGATAAAAGAAATAGTAATAAATAGTAGCTAATGTTAATAGTCATATAGTTTTAGCTTAACTTAATTCTTAATACTTAATTAGTAGCTAATATTAATAGTCCTATTAATTTCCACCTTATTTATATGCCATACTTAAACGATAATATGTTAATATCCTTTTGCATAAAATTCCATATATCTCAATGTTTATATTTTTATATGAACATTTTACGTTGTTTGTTATACTTCTTTTGGGGAGAATCATGTATTGAGAATAACTTTTTGTACCCGATTATTTTGTTCTGCCTAAAAAAATTCTTTTTCTATTTTTCTGTCTAAAACAAACATTATTTCTGTATACTATTGATTTGAAGTATACATAATTCAAAAAAAAATATTTGTTTTTTCTTAAAATTTTAATTAAAATGCGAATTATAAAATAGTAAACATTTTATTCCATTTAATGATCTTATCGTTTACGGGAAAAAATATTCTCAATAAAATAGTCAGTTTATAGGGTCTCACATATTAATAGTTTTTTCGAACTCATCATAAAAAGAAGTTTAAATATGTAAAGAATCTATAATCATAAAGAAGATTTAATCTTCAGAGAAAGTAAAATAATTTTCGTACCTTTAGCATAGTTTTCTTACATAATTGTTTTTAATTTATTAAAAAGATTTTTCCATTTAATTAAAAAAATTTCCTTTTGTAGTTCTGTTTCCATTCTGTAGATCAGCAAGTGATATATACTGCCCTACAAAAGTTAGAAAATAACTTGCTTTATGTATATAGTTCAAAAATAAATGACAAAAAAAAATAAATAAATAAATAAGTCAATAAAATAAAAAAATAAAGCAGAAATTTGGAAAAATTGTGCTCTATACAGTTTTTTTTGTGAAAAACGACTTAGAAATTTACATAAATTGAAATACAAGCATGATTTGTTATAAGGACATACATTTGGCCTTCTCAGAAGTTTCTTTTCTGAGAAAACAGTTTATCATAGTTCATGTAGAAAATAGTCATGAGAACATACAAAATTGAGTTATTGTGAGGAATATATCCAGCCCTAATTACAATGCATTTGTAGCATCAACTTTTCATTTTCACAAGTAAGTTATCCGGAAACAAATAATCACATCACAAGTAAGTTATCATTGACAACTGAATCCCAAAACAAAATTTAAAAAATAACATAGTGCTCTCAGACAGCATATCTGTATTCGTAGATGTTACAGTACCTGTTTCAAAAGCGTAGGGTATTCATGAAACGTGATGTCTAACTAAACTGTCAAAATCTTGCTTTCATAATGGCCAATTCCTCAGACTTTCAAAGACAGATAGGGTATCTCTGATTGATACTTTGGAGTGAATTATTATAAAAACAAAAGTTTAATTGCCTGGAAACGAATCAGTTTGGCTAGTTATACGACCCCCTTTCCTGAAGATGTGATCTTGGATCACTATGCCAACATTTTTAGAGATTCAATTGGTCCTGATTAGACTTCATCTTATATAAGATTTTAAAGAATTCGTAGGATGGATCAGCCATCCAGATCTCTAGACCTGAACCCACTGGGAATATTTTTAGACAACCATGGCAGTCTGCGTTGTAGTTCCCTTCACCATCGTTAGATTAGAGAGAATAAGACTACCCGTGTCTGGTCTCCTCCCTCGATTTTGATGCCCAATAACTTAACTAGTAGCATGGAAAACCGATGTTTTGTAATTAGAAGTAGACACATTTTTGTAACATGCATACCTCGATTTTCTACATAAAACTACGATGCATAATTTCTTCTGAGAAAGATCTTTATTGTTAGATGTCTACTTGTGTCTATGTTTAAATCATGTTTGTATTTAATTTATGTATATGATTAAGTACATAATTTAATCTATATTGCATTCAATAAAAAAAAAACTATTTAGTGTGCTGTTCTTCTCCTACACTACTATTTTTGTTATTAGTTTTCAAATTAAGCACAGAATACAAATTGTATTTTAATTTTTGGCTGCTAATGTAGTTGTTTATACTGTTTGGCACCATGTTGTGAGTTTTAACAACACTTAGATCAAAACTTAAGTTTCTCAGTAATGTATATGTGTATTGTTGAATTAATTACCTGATGGGGAGCAGCTTTGGGTTAACCCTCTTCTATAAGAGGTAAATATAATTCACTACAAAATTATGCACCTTACGTCAAAAAGTTGCTAAATCCTGTCATCAACGCATCAAGTACAAATTTCAAATTTAATTTATTTTGGCGTAATTGTTTTTTTTCTTCACTTATTTGAAAAAAATTGACGCTGTTTTGAAACTTTAAATTAAGGCATCCTGTGGCAGTTACTTTTCGAAACAATAACGCATCATTTAAGTCATTCGCAAAAAATATAGTCAATCAAACGTGTGATGATCACTCTGTGATGGTGTTTGGGAATACAAACCTGAAAATGTGATTCGCGGTCAGTGAGGGGATTCAATTGACTTTCTGTCTTTGAGAAATCTGTTCAGTTAGTGAGAAGTGTCACTTCAGTTAAATGCTGTTGAAGCTGAGCCTCGAAAAGCATATTATAAGATTATGACCTAGATAAGCAATAATTGTAAGCCACCTGGATAAACAGACTTTAACCGACTTTAATTAACAAGCATAAAATTTTCTTCTTGCAGTATAACGCCTGTCTACGTTTAACACAACTTAGAAATGCAAGCATTCAAACCTCGTTATACAAATAGGCTGCAAAGCCTACTTAAAAGGTGAACTGATTTGCTGTTAACCCCTTTCTTCTCGCTCCCGTGAAAATGATGGGGTGAGGTTTCGCCCTCTATTTCTCGCTCTCGGGATATTTCCGGGTTGGAGTGTTCAGTAGTAAAACTAATTCATTTTTTTGCCCGAAAAACATTTAATTCTCATTTTACACACCAGGTGGATATTTTTAAGGTAATTGTAGATAGTTAGTTAATTTTAAACTAGATGTCAGCAATAATCAAGGATACAGGGATTTAAGAAATAGGTACTTTTATGACCGTTTTCTTGGAAATTAGCCGATCGTTAAGGGGTTAAATGACAGTTTCTACAAAATGTTGTTGAGGCTAAGCCTCAAAAAACAAACATATCATGAGATAGTGACCGAGATACGAAAAAATTGTTTTCCGCTTGGGTACGCTGACTTCAACCGACTTTGTCTCACAGTATGACGCCTGTCAACAATCAACACCCCTTCGAAAATAAAAGCAACCATATCTCTTTATACCAGTAGGCTGCTCAGACTAATTAAAAAGTGAACTGATTTGCATATTAGCTAGCTTTTAAGGACAAAAAAACTTTAATGACAGAAAATATACATCTTAAAACTCATTTCGTGGAAAGAAATAATGTTTCGTAGGCCTTTGTCAACCTATAAATAATAATAAGATATAAAAAACGATGTTAGATTATGTGCAAATCGGTTTAATTTTCAGTTATTTAAGCAGCGTAGTTGTATTACGTGTTGCAGGGCTTTCACTTCCAGGAGGTGACGCCATATTATGCATAACTATCACTGCTGACACAATGCATGGCCATGGTGTGTATCTTCCTCAATCTTATTCATCTGACTTATAACATGCAGATTTAATTTGTTTTGTCACCTAGAACACTTCCTATTTAGAAAATGGTTCGTTTAAAAGACGAGGTTCTTTTGTTGTTGATTTCTTCGAGACGCTGTTGATTTCTTCGCATTCCAACTACAAGAATTACATTATTTTGGCATAATAACCTTTCCAAAAAATACAGTAAGAGATTACTTTTAATTATAGCCATCTGAGTGTAGTGGCCGTTTTCGGGGACATTTCAGTTGCATCTACGGAATTGGTCTTAAAAGTTTGTCAACTTTGATTATTTGTTGAATAACATATTGCCCAGGCATTTAAGCTAAAATAATTTTAACTAAATATCTATGCCAATTGTTTCAGGAATCGAATGAGGATGAGAAGGAAGAAACGTGCGATTCTCTGTCACCTTATCAGAAAGTTGTGAATAAGCTTCAGACAGATGAAAGATGGCACAAAGAGATATCTCTTGGACGACGCATTGGATTCTACAGAATCAAAGAAGAACTGGGAACTGGAAACTTTTCACAAGTGAGAGCTGCCATTCATGCTCTTACAAGAGGTATGTATGTTCATAATTTTATTTTAAACCAACCAAGTTTTCTCCATTTATTTAAAACCAACCATTTTAACATTGTAAGACTTCGACGATACTTTCTCCTCATCGCTTCGTATTTTAGCAAATATATTTTAGTTCTTTGTATTCTTAGAACAATACTTTATCATAGTCAAACCGTTTTTGAGGTATTTTACACCTTGTTAGAACTGAAAAATATTTCAGCTCAAGCACTTTTCGCTCTTAAAACAATACTGTATTGCACAAATATTTTGACATTTTTTCTGTAACCATGCTAGTGATAATTTTGACCCATGAAAATATTTAAATGCTTTTACAATATATCTTTGCCTTATATTGAAGTATTGACACTCTATGACCCATTTTTCTGAGATTGTTTGCACGAATGCCATGTAACTTCATTTCCGATGAAGTAACCATCAATTGTGCCGATATCCTCTTACCAACTGCTAAGAGCCGTAGTGGTTTAGAGGATAGAGCGTTTGCTTTTCAATGATGGGACCCGAGTTCAAATCCCAGCAATGGCTGGTCAATACTAATTCCGTACCTTACTCTCACCTATCGCAGCACTGACGTAAAATATCCTCAGTGGTAGACGGATCATGGATTAGACTCCCTTTGCCGTCTGGCTAACCATTGGAGGTTTTCGGGACTTTCTTCTCCATGTAACCGCAAGGGTTAAATTCATCAAAAAGTCTTTCAAATTCATCAAAAAATTCTCCCAATTCTTAAACCAGGAGTACCCTTGTCTTCTGAATTGGGTTCTAAATTACGAGGCTACGAAATTGAACATTGGTAATCGTAAACTCAAAATGGGGTCTGCTGTTCAACGACGGTTATAAAATGAAAATCAATTGCTACAAGATTTTTCAGCCACGATTACTGTGCATGTAGAGCATGTACAATTATTAATCATTAATCATTGTACTGAAAGAGTACAATGATCAATGAAAAACAATGTTAATGTTGTGTTGAACTAGAATTTAATCCACTTGACTTTTATCCATCATCCTTAACCTCAGAATATGAGTTGTACTTATTCCAGACAACACCACCGTCTTTATATCTTTGACCCCTTCCTTACGGAAACATTATTATGAGAAAAATACATGTCCGTGGTTTTTGCTCTTCTTTAACACCTTTAATGATGCGTTATTTTAAATTATTCTATCTATTTTATTCTACGTATCAGGATAGAATGATGTATAAAAATTTGCTAAATCAATTTAACGTGTAAATTCTTGATCAACTCCGTATCAAATATCAATACTAAATAACAATATCAAAATTAAGTTTTGTTAAAATTTTGAGTCAACATTGAGATATCCACTACAGCAAGAATTGAATTAACTCACTTTCATAAACACCGTTTATTGTTGTCATGTTAAATACTATGATTTAAATTATCCTCCTGACTTTGAACTTAAAAAGTTCAATGATCTTATGCTGCCCTTTCGTGACAATAGTTTATCACATTTTTAGTCTCTTCATGAGTCAAAAATGTAAGAAGTTACTGAAAGGGCGTGGTGAAATCAGGAAAGAAAATGTGAATAAGTTTCTTCAACCATGCAAAAGTAACACATAAGAAAATTTTTAATAAGAAAAAGAAGGTTAAAATACATATTTATCACTAAAAGGCCATAATTGCACAGTAAAACGGTAAAAAAAAGTATATCATTCTTGAACTAAAAGATATTTTATTGAATTTAATAGGTGAATTTATATTGAATTTGATTGATATTTCATTGAATTTAATAGGTAGAATTATCTAATGCGAGTGAATTTGCAAGCAATAATACATCATATTTCGTATATTATATTAGGAACTTGTAAGATTAATGCATTCCACACGAGGCATTTTAACACTACAGTGTTAAGGCCTTAGAGCAGGGGTGTCAAACTCAAAAGCTAACTTGGGCCAAATAAACAATGCTTTACTTTAGGTGGGCCGCGGAAAAAAGAAAAAAAACATCAATGTTTATAGAAACAAATATTTTTATTTTGAACAGTACATTGTAATAAACATATATAAAGTTAAATTATTGTTTGATACTTGACATCTCTTCTCTGCTACTATCTTTCCTATTTCGGGAGAAATTTTATTGGCCGAGACTACTTTCAAAATTGACCCAACGTGAGCGTTATTAATACAGTTTCGGATAGGAGATTTATTTCCATTCATAACAGAAAATAATTGCTCGCACTGATAAGTACTTCCAAACATGGAAATAATTTCATGTGCGAATTTTTGAGTATTTTCAAACTTTGCCGGTAAATTCAGTCACACCCACTTCAATGAATTTTGCCTTCAAATTTGAGTCGTACTGAATCTTAGTCACTTCCATTTGCATATTACTGGGTACTAAGTCTATATTTATTGAGAAAATCGAAGAAAACAAACAAAATGTGTCTTCCAAAGAATTAAAATCTTTAAACCTTGTTTCAAATTCTGTTCTAAGATTTGAAATTTTTTCTGCGTATTTTTGATACAATTTTATATGCAAGTTTTCTTTCTAATTCACATATTTTTACTTAGTGTCGGATATATTGACTGAGCCGCAAAAATGTTCATCTCGTGCAGCATGCGGCCTGCGTGCCGCGAGTTTGACACCCCTGCCTTAGAGGCACTTAGCTTTGAAAGGGGGACACTTGAACTTTTAGTCGACTTTTTTAATTATTCTATTAATCTTATTTTAGTCTTATTTGTATTTAATGTGATTTTTCATATTTTTACCATTTGATGTTTTACCTGACCTTACTTTTATGTGTTTTTACCTGTATTTTTGACACTTTTATTGTCGGTTAATTTTATTCACTTAGATGTTTCAAGCACTTTTAATTTTATTCTGTTTTATTTTTATCATCTTTTCGATTTTGGGATTTTTCCTATGTGTATCAATCTTTTTAGTTTTGATTTTACTTTTCTGTAGTTTTGTAGTATTTAGTTCACGTGACAACGGGCGAAACCCTTATCCGCAAACTCCTTCGGGGGTAGGTCGGTTACTATTAGTCTTAACACTACAGTGTTAACACTTAGCTTTTAAAATACTTACTATTCTAATTGTTAAAATTTTTACATCTTAATTTTTCGAATCATTTTATTTAGAGGTTACCGGGTATTATATGGTAATTGCTATGGTATATGGTAAACATTGAGTCAAATTCTATAAACGTTATGTGGTGACATCATCTTTTTTCAATCCTTAAAAGAACTTCCGAGTACATTGCAAAGAATTAATATCAAAATCGAATCTTTCCACTTTTTTCTGGAAATTATTTTGCTTTTCCAAGTGTTGTTTAATCCTTGAGACATCTTAATGAGTCATCATGCTTCCTTCATAACAGCAAATCCATCTTCATTTTAGACCGGATGTATTTCCTCCATTTATCAAGTTAGCTTATAACTTTGCATCAAATCAAGAAAAACATTTTGCATTATGCTGGAAATAAATAAATATTTGGTTGTTGATGGAAAATAATCGGTTATTTGAAAACTTTAGCTTTAATTATTTATTTATTTGCTTGAAATAATTCCATTAAAGGCATTAAATATGCTAATGTACCTTCTACCTATTTTTATACATTTGATACCTATTAAAACTATGCTAATTACCATAATACTAATAATGCCTCTTACCAAAATTAATTAAGCATCAATGGCGTCAATAATAATTTTTATGATTTTTTATATAAAAGTTATTTATCTATCGTTATTTATTTATTTATCGTCTTGTTTTTTTTCCTTTCTTTTTTAATTATAAAATGGTTTACTATCGTTTGAGTTATTAAAGGAAAATTTCATACTATAATGGTGAAAAGGGTTGGTTTGTCATGTTTTAGGCTGTGAATCTTGAGATAACGTTAATTGGCTAATGAGGATGCATATCCTTACTTTTAAGAAATGTTTATTACATAGATGATCAACTTTATTCAATAGATCAAATTTTTTATAATGTATAAACTTACTTTTTAATATTTGGTTCGAGTTATAACAATAAAAAAATAAAATAAAATAAACAAATTAATAAAAAAATAAAAAATCTTATCCCAACAAGAATAAAAAGTACTTCAACACAAGTTATTAAATTATATTATTTTTCAAGTATAAATAATATTTTGAAATTTATTTTGAAACTAAACTGTTTTGTGTCACCAAAAATGAAACTGCAGCCTTAAATGGAAATAATAAGCAAGTTCGCTGTGCCCAACAGCCTGAAATAAAACAATTTTTGTCCAACACCTCAACTAGGAACGTCTGAATCAGATACTCTCACAGGAAGTAATAGACATGCTCTTTAACGTTACCGTAAGCCCCTTAACCCTAGTTTTAACTCCTCTTAGAAGTGGAAAAATCTTTTCACGAAAATCGTGCTTTGTTCGAGAATGTTATGAATAAAACTCTCCAACATTATCGTTACCAAAGGCAGAAACTTTGAGCCACTGTGACTGTTATTAGATTAGACATCAGGACCACTGTCGACACCCATGTCTGAGAGTTCGTGGGTTTGAACCCCGCCGGCGGAAGTAAAGTTACTGAAGCACGTTAAATCTGTCGAGTCGCAAAAGTCCTCCATGTTCCCATAACAAATCAATACCTCTGGGGGTACTGGATTGGAAATCGATCGTTCTCTGATTCAGGTCAAAATTACGATCTGGAGATGAATGAATGGATGTATGAATGTTTCCGCCCTATAAATGGGTACGGTATATGGTGTGACAGAGGTCGAATTCTCGGCCATAGATGGCGCCACTGAAAAACAAGAAACGCACACTCTGCCTTAAATTTGCTCGTTTTCACCAAGCAGGCTTGCCCGTGTGGCAGGTGACATTAGAAACAACTACAACAGATTAGACATCAATAAGGCACTATCCCATAAACATTAAGTACACTTTTCGAACTTATATATCGATCTTCGTATAGAAAAATTGCATCTAGGTATATTAAGATGACTATTCAATACAATCTTGCATAAATTGATTTCTTATTTTTTAAAACTTTGCAAAACATTGTTTTAAAATCATTCCTTTTGTTGGTAATTAAAGCAAACGTATATATATTTTAATATTGTTTAACGTCATTTTTTCTCTCCTTTGAATAGAAAGGGTAGCAGTAAAAATTTTAGACAAGTCAAGGTTAGACAACAAGACTCAAATGATGCTGGCAAGAGAAATCTCATCCATGGAGAGCTTACATCATCCCCATATTATCCGCCTCTATGAAGTTTTGGAGACACTCTCCAAAATATACCTGGTCATGGAGTACGCAAATGGTGGAGAGCTCTTCCATAAAATATCCCAAAACGGCCGTTTTACAGAAAAAGCTGCACGACCCCTATTTGCACAAATTACGGCTGCTGTTGATCACATGGTAAAATTAATGCTTTCTTTCCTTATTTAGTTTCTATATCTACCTATCTATCAATAAAATATTGTTAACATTTGAGGCAAGCTACTGGATAACAGGATTTGATAAAATCCGGGTATTTTAGAAAAAACCCAACCCGCCTGACTTTTATTGAAAAAACCCATTTGCATTGATTATTGACTTTTATTGAAAAATTGGGTTTTATTTGAAAAAAACCCGGGGGAAATTGGGTTTTTTCATTGAGTGCTCATAAACTAAGTTTAACTGTGCAATTATTTTTATTTATTAGAAAATGTTGTGTAAGCTTAAAAATAGAAATAAATCCAAGAAATTATTTTGATTTCGTTATATGTATTAAGTTTATCACTAATATATATATGAATCTTCTTAATCGTTAAATACGTAAAGTTTCACAATTTTTAACTAAAGCATTATTAAATATAAATGTAGTAATATAAAAAGAACAAGTTTATTATTCTTTTTGTTTTTACACACATTTATTTACTATATTTATTAAACATATATATATTGCTTATTATAAAAATATAATCAGTAAATATTTATAATCAAATAAAAACTAAAATTTCCTCTGACTTTTGACTTTAATAAAAACTGAAATAAATATTTAATGGTCTTCCATATTTTTATAATAAGATTAATTGTGAGTGAAATTAAAATTATGAATAATTATAAACAGTATCAGTTACGTGTCCCATTTTTTTTTCAAATAATTTACCCTGGAAAAATGATTTCATTTCTAGATAAATAATTTTAAAAAGTTCTCTTATAAAAAGTTTTAGCTTATTTTTTTAAAGCCATAAAATAAAACTGTTTAAATTTGTTAATGTATCACTTAGCAAAAAAAGAATTGTTTCTTTTCAATTTTTTTAAACATATGAATTAATAATAATAACCTGTTTATTAATATATAAAGCAAGCAACTATATTTTAAAAATTGATCTTTTCAGACTATATTATTTAAATTTCTATTTGATTTAATTTCATCAAAATATTACTTTTTGAAAAAACCCACTTAAAGTTTTCAATAGTACTATAAAATTATAGATTCAAGTTCCTTTTACTTTACAAATATTAAAAACTTTCGACTTTTTTGTTATAAGTTCTTTTGAAAAAAAATGAAAAATTTTTTTATTAATAAGTATATCTTACGACATCAGCTTGTTTGGATTATAAATTTTATGCGAATGAAAAAATTTAAAAAAATTGGAGGAATAGCATGAGGAAACCAATCTTTTATTTAATTAATGAATTAACATTTCAAATTACAAACAAAATGTTAATCATCATTAAAACAAGTCATTCAAAGGAACAAAATTAGATCTAGTTACATTCTATATCAACAAACAACAACTCATTTCACAACTAACAAGACTTTACTTCCCTGATCTGAAGACTACGAACTATGTGGATTTCTAAGATAACGTCGTTCAACTTAGTTGTCTATTGAAAATTTTCCAATGATCGATCAATTACTGACAGCTATAAAAACCAATTAAAATATCGATAGAAACGAAAAAAAATTTTATAACTTTAAATTTTTAACAAAGCAAGGTTTCGTCAGGTTAAAGCAAGGTTCATTTTCGTTAAATAAAATTCCTTCAATTTATTACCATCAACAACTTCGTAACACTTATATACCGGAGCAAAAAGTTTACTTTAAGCGAATTCATTAACAAACAATACGTACTAATATAGGACCGGAATAGCCTGGTTGATCAGGAGTTGGGGCGATGTCCAAAAGATAGTGAGTTCGATCCCCGCAGGCCGTAAAGAAAATTGTGACTGATGCACTCTAACCCTGTCGGAGTTGCAAAGTCCTCCAAGTTCCCATAACAAATCAATACCTCTGGGGGTACTGGATCGGAGACTGATCGTGCTCTGGTTCAGGTCAAAATTACGATCTGCGGGTGAATGGAATGGGAATGTGTCCTCCATATAAAACGGGATATGACGTATGTGTGTGGCAGAAGTCGAATTCCTGACAAAGGAATTCGAAAACCACTGGAAAACAAGAAGAACCTCACCCCTCTGCCTTAAAATAGTTTTGTTAGTATTAACAAGTGGTCTGCAAGACAACAACAGCATCAACGTACTAATATTGTAACTTTCGAAGGTTATTACCATTTAATTCCAGTTATTGGGCATATGGTTAAAGCATCCTTAAAAACTTGTTGAAAACGTTGTATGGTTAAAGCATCCTTGAAAACGTTGTAACGAATAATGTCTAAATAATGCTAGACATTGAAGCTGCTTGTTGGACCTTAATCTCTTCATCTGACTAGTAAAAGAACCATTCCTTCCTTTATCCTGAAAATTAGTTCTCTCTTCTGCCAGTGCTGTGACATGGGTCTAAATGTTGTTTTTAATTCCTACATCGATCTAGAAGCTTTTTCTCGGAGGAGCAAAAGATAACTTTCATATGCATCTGAAACCTTTGTATGATGCGAAAACAAATATTTATGATGAAGGCTGGTCATTAATTTATTTATCTAGTGGTAGATTGTCCAATAATTAATTTAGCCAATAATTCTAGTGGTAGAATGGTGGTGATTGGCCATTAAAGAATTTCTACGATTCTCTCTACCATATCACCTATTTGCCTTGCTACGTTCGTCAAAAAGAGTAAATTATTCTTATAATGCACAGTTGGTGAGCACTTAAGCTAATAGAACTGTCAAAAAAAACATTCTTAATCTGAATAAACGGACTTTGTTTGTTGAGGAATTCTGCTTTCTAAATAGGGAAAGTGCTGCACTCTGTAAATATTTCTTTTTTTTTTTTCAAAAGACAGGCACTGAACTTTACTCTTTGCCTTAGAAGTTTCCGGAATTGTTGCTCATTTTACGTTACCCAGTGGGCACCTGTGAACCAAAGTCACGGAGGCGAGCAACCAACATTACCAACGCCACACTGCCACAAACCCGTTCATAGGGTGGGCCTCATTCCCTCATCACTCACAACAGAGGACAACACAAGAGATAAACATTCATGCCCAGAGTGGGATTCGAACCCGCAGTCATTAGCTTCGCAGTCAGGCGCGCTAACCGCTCGGCCACCTGGCCGGCACTCTGTAAATATTGTTGTTGATGTTGATGTTAATTTACGTCGCACTAGAGCTGCACAATGGGCTATTGGCAACGCTGTAAATATTGATCCTATACTTATATCAATACAATAAAGAAAAGCTAAAGAGTCTTGCACCCAAAATCATGTTCATATTTTTTAGCAAATTATGTAACAATGATCAAAAATTCAAAAAACATTTCGGTCCCATAAATTACTCACATAATTTTTATTTGCAAAATCTAAAATTTCTTTAAAATTGATTAAATAGTTGCTAATAATAAATAAAATTTCAAATGTAATTCATGCTTATTTAAATTTTTATACATTGCTGAAGCTATTCGACCATTCGGCTTACAGCACATAAAATTCCTATTCAAAATTTAATTATTTGATAAAATTTCTTCATGTGCTTAGAATATATTTTAGTACTAAAATCATTGTGTTCTTAACTAGTGTATTTTTCTATAATCCAATAGATATTGAAAAAAATTACCCTAGTATATAATACATAGTATATATTCAGTTGTGTGTATTCCTTACCAGTGCAATACTCAACAGATAGCAAAAGATATGCAAACTTGACTTTGTTAACTTGAAAATTTCAAACGCACTTTTCTCGAAATAAAAATTTATTTTATAAGACCCGCTTAATATGAGTAAAATTTAATTTTAAATGAAACTCTGAAGTATTCTCGCAGGGCTCTCACGGGTCAGGGAAAACCTGGAATTGTCAGGGAATTTTATTTTAACTTTAAAAAACAGGGAATAGTCAGGTTGTAATTTTTTACAAAAATCATGAAAAATTCCTATATCACACCCGGAAAATAAGGTCTTAGAATGTCAGGAACAGTAATTAGTTATTGAGATTCGATTTAAATAATTCTAGCATCTATTACAATTGTTTTATAAATTTCCACCATTTAGTGAAACTGTTCTATATTTTCATTCTCATTCTATTATAAGTTATTTGCTCACAAAATCTAATATTTGATATAAAAATTAAAGTTTACAGATAAAAAATCACATGGTATGGATGCCTTATGGTATGGAGTTTCATTAAAATTTACCTGATATACTTGGAAGAGTCAGGGAATTTTTTTCTGAAATTGAGTGGGAAACCTGTAAAAACTCAGCTCAGCATATGGTTTTATCATTATTTAATATTTTTAGGTTATTTATTATTTTTCGAGTTTGTAAAAAGTATAATTTTTAAGGTTTGTAAAAAGTATAACATTTGATAGTTTTTTTAGTCATATTCCTGTTTTTCTCTTTTAAGAGGACGCTATACAGCAGGAAAAACCAGTCAAATCAAATTCTCTCTTGCACCTGCATAATTAATCTGAATTTAATGTATACAAAAAGTGAGTTCAGGCACACCTAGAGAAAATCATAAATTTTTAAATGCTGAAAAGTTTTCGAAATATCAAAATGCAAGCGAATTATGTCAAAGGACCCCATAGTAGAGAATTAATCCTCTACTAATTTGTTTTCATTTTGATATTTTGAAAACATTTTTACAGCATTTAAAAATTTATGGTTTTTCCTATTTTACCTGGAGTCACTTTTTTATTAAGTTTTCCAATGGATGTGAATTTGCCATGAAAAATTTCTCTCACGATATAGCGTGCTCTTAATTTTATATTAGAATAATTAGAATTTCTTAATTTTATTTCATTTTCTTTCAGCACCTTCATAACATCGTACATCGAGACCTGAAAGCAGAAAATGTCTTTTTCTCAGGACCAAACACTGTGAAAGTTGGCGATTTCGGTTTCAGCACGCAGGTTCAGAACAAGTTTGAACCACTACGAACCTTTTGTGGTTCTCCTCCATACGCTGCACCAGAACTCTTCAGAGACGACAGCTACGTTGGTCCTATGGTTGACGTTTGGGCCCTCGGTGTATTGCTCTACTTCATGTTGACAGCCTCGATGCCATTCAAAGCACAGACAGTGTCTGGTTTAAAAAAGCAAATCTTAGATGGAGACTACACCATACCCGACTACCTAAGCAGTGAACTACATTTTTTGATAGTTGGTATTTTGAAGCAAGACCCAAAACAAAGAACTTCTCTCGACCAGATTAAGAAGTCTAACTGGCTTACAGGACAAACATTACCATCACCATTGCCAAAAGACAATTTGTTGTCCGCGGTTGAAGACTGCAACGGGAATGGAACCATTTTGTCCTCCGTAGAACTTTCCGTAAAACAAACTTTAAAAGATTTAGGAGTTACTGACGAAATGATTGAATATGAAAAAAATAAAGGCTCCAGAAGTAGTGTTATTGGTACCTATAGAATTATTCTTCATCGCAATGTGTCTAGAACTGAAAACGTTCCAGTAATTTTGCCAGCTACAGAAACACCAAAGTTCCTAAAACTTAGTGCGAGTCCTAAAAAACCAAAAACAAAGAAGAATAAAAAGTCGAAAATGTGTACTATTTTGTAAATATATATGTGTGTAAATGTTACTTAATAAAAAGTATTTTATCTAAAATCTTAGTGCGTGAAAAAGACAACACACTATTTTGAATCCCAAAAGGGGTCAAACAATGAGAAACTTTTCAAAGTGATGATGTCCTGCTTTCCAAGTTAAGGCGGTGAACGAAAATTATTTCATTTCAGTCTGTTGGGAGACTCGCAAAGTAATCACATTAGATAGTAGGTTCAAGCTTTGCGATACAGGCTTCAAAATATAATTTATACGCCAAGTTGTTGTTGTAGTTAATTTACGTCGCACTAGAACTGCACTATGGGCTATTGGCGACGGTCTGGGAAACATCCCTGAGGATGATCCGAAGACATGCCATCACAATTTTGATCCTCTGCAGAGGGGATGGCATCCCCGCTTCGGTAGCCCGACGACCTGCATGCGAAGTTGAGCTTATTTACGGTAGAACAGTTTAACGAGGACCAATACCGCACACCCTCGGTCCCTACGCAGGCTGATCCAAGTGGTCACCCACCCGCACACTGACCGTAGCCAGTGATGCTTGACTTCGGTGATCTGCTGGGAACCGTGTCTTAACGATCAGTCCACTGCGGGACCAAATTTGTACGCCAAATACAATAAAACATTATATTTTACATTCAAAAAATTCCTTACATTTTTTATCTATTCGATTATTTTTTTTTAAATTTTTTCTTGCAGTTGAATAAGAGAACCATCAGTATTTGAAATACGGATTATTAGTGACGTTGATATTTTTATTAATCACCGTTAATTATTGGCATACCCTCCAACTGCTACGGAATTTCCGTAGTTTCAGAAATCTTCTTTTCAGACTGTAGCAGAATTAATGTCTTAATATTCAAAAAAAAATAATTTTAGCGTAACTTGTTCACTATTACTTATAAAAGTGCATGCCATATGGCTACATTCTTAAGTTCTGATACAAGTTTTATGAGAGATCCATTTGCTTTAAAAATTTCTACTTTGGTTCGCTACCACTAGAAAGAATTATTTTCAAAATCCTCATAAGTTGGAGGGTATGATTATTGGTAATAATTACAAACATAACTACAGGATGCCATTGTCTCATTTACAATTACCCAGTATTTTCTACATTAATGCTTTTTAAGATCAATTGCCATTGACCGGCTTACATTTGCCCGATATTCCTACACCAGTTATCGATGTTTTTTATGATTAAGCGTTGACCAACATTACCTACACTGATGTTATTCACAGTATACCCCAATCGGGTATAATTATAAAAAAAAAAATCGTTGAATATTGATAATAAGCAAATAAGAGAAATTTGTGTTTCAGTAAAAAAACTGGTTTATTGACTAAAGACAATGTTATTTTGCTTTGATCGTTAATTTCAATGATAAATATAATTTCAATTTTCAAAGTATATATAAAAATTTCGATATAAATATTAAGATTTATATCTGCCAGCATCTCTCTTTCCTATTATTTTATTTAATTTTTTTACTTTTGGCGTAATATGAAGCATTGAAGATCTCATGTAAATAAATTTTATACAATGCAATACAAAAATGCAGAGACAATCACTTTTAAAGCAAACAAAAGTGAAAAAAATGTCGCAACAATAGCTCTTAAAATTGCAATAATTTTCAAATAAATTGGATTTCCGAAGCGATTTCAAGCAAATTTATTAATAAAAATTTCAATTACAGTACGTAAAATTTCAACTTAGTAGTTAAATTTCAACTAAAATTTCAATTTTCATTTTGCCTAGATGTAGATCGAGCCATATGGTAATTTTTTTACTCACTTAACAGTAGATATTTTTGAACAAATTTTTTTTATTTAATCTTATAACTTTTTTTTCGCGAGAGAACACATTTTTGTACACAACTTCTAATGTCTTTAGTTTTCTCGCTGATAACAAAAAACGAAAAAAAAGTGAAAAAAAATCTTAGAAAAGCACTTAAAATTGCTTTAATTTTCGAGTGAATTTTAATTTCAAAAAAAGAACTATTCATAAACAAAACTAGCCCTTACAGCTCATCAAATTACTCTGTAGTTGCATTTCTGCGGCCTGCTAAGATAATATTTCTTTCTGCAAGTTTAACAGTTAATTATTCTCAAAATAATTATTGAATGTTACGTTATTTTATTTCATCTTATTTTCTGATTATTGTTCCATATACCATCGTAATTTTAAGTTTCTAACTTAGTAGCTTTTGGGCCAAGAACTAAAATGCAATGTAAGGTTAAACACCTAAAACAGCCGGTACTACAGCTCTTACAACTTTTCAATAGAGAAGGAGAGTATGATTTTTGTTATTTTAGTTGGTAGATCTTTCTACTTTTTTAAGGACGATATTAAATGGTCAGATAAACTACCAAACTGTAATGAAAGTCAAGTATTACATATATATATATATATAGCATAATAAATAAATACAAAAAACTCGAAGAAAATTAAGACTATTGTATCCTCTAACTATTGTATTGATATATTTTGCTTTGGCTATATTGATGCAATATTAGAAAGCATTCTTTTTTGTGGATATAATCGTGTGAGCTGATGAAAAGATTATATCTTTTATTTTCCGGATTTTTTAAAATTTTTGACCTTTTTCTCGGATTGTTTTTTTTTTCGAATAAAGTTTAATAAAGCTAGTGTTAACTTGACATTCGAGGATTTGAAAATTAAGTAATTTAACAAATATTATTTTTTCTCCTTAAAGAAGGTAAGAGTCTTAGTTAATAAATATTGATAGCATGTTGATGTTATTCCATCATTTTTAAAATGTAAGACTATTTAAACTCGAGAAACCAGACGTTGAAAANAATAAATACAAAAAACTCGAAGAAAATTAAGACTATTGTACCCTCTAAATATTGTATTGATATATTTTGCTTTTGCTATATTAATGCAATATTAGAAAGCACTCTTTTTTGTGGATATAATCGTGTGAGCTGATAAAAAGATTATATCTTTTATTTTCCGGATTTTTTAAAATTTTTGACCTTTTTTTCGGATTGTTTTTTTTTCCTTCCGGTTTCTTGTTATTTTTATTATTATTATTTTCCCTTCTTTCATTGTTCTATAATTTTTCCCTTGTTTTCTCAACATTTTGAACTTATACATATATATATATATCTATAAATATCTTCTTTAAGTCATCTCCACTATTATTCCTCTAAACAAACTGATCTTAAACTGATTGAAGTTTATAACATTTCGTGCCTAAACATGGAACGTTATGCACTTACGGAAGAAATAAAAAAATGTTATTGCTTACTACTTTCTGTTTCGTCTTCTGGACTTATTCATTGCCATCGATTTCTCTTTAATGATTCTTCAATATTGATGATGTGCATCGCTCACGTAAGAAATAAATCGATTTTTGCTTAATGGCACCACGCTTGGTTGCTACTTTAAAGCTTGTTAAAAGGATAAAAGGGAATTTTTAAGTAAAAAATAATGGACATTTAATGAGACTACTAGAGCCTTGCTTTATATTATCTTTGGATAATTAATATAAAGTATTGTACACACATATTAGCATAATTACATTTAATTGAAAATATCAATCAATCAACTATTCCGTTCTCACTATTTTAACGTGACAAAAGTATTTAACATAGTCGGAGCAATTTTTGAACTGCAACTAAAAATGTTTTACTTTAAATTATTGATAAATATTATTTATTTATAATATAAATTAAAAAAGAATCATTTATTGAACTCGAAAAAAATTAAGCGTAAATTATGTGAAATGATGCAAGCAAAATATTTTTTTTAAAGTCAAAGAGCAATAGGTTACACGTGAATAAATTCTCATTAACCGTTTCAAAACTGATTTCTAATAGTTATAGGTCAAGATAGTTTTATAGATCAAGTTTTTCGTTTGGTAGCACATGTTTTTTTAACTAATGATAATATTGCAAGTAATTTTTTCTCAAAATCTAGACTCACTTCCTACAATTTAGCCCTGAAACATTAATGTCCTATTAGTCTTTTTCAGGAACTAATGGCCCATGAAAAAAAATATTACTGGAACATATACATCCCAAATCATAAAGAAAAGAATTTTTTTATTGTTTTCATACGTTAAAATTTCAAAATGATAATTCAAAGCAACGTAAAGGGATATAAATAATCTTTATATTATAGCTCTTCTCTCTTTTTTTTTGCTCTATTTCAATTATTTTCTTCAAGAAATTATCCATAAATCTTCACAAACATGTGATTTCTTTAAAGTTATGCCGCCATGATAATTTTGCATGTTCTAGCAACCATCCTAACAGAAGAAGCGTTGCTCAAAAAGCAGTAGTGTGCAAATCTAGTGTTAAAATGGGGTTCTATTTAGCCTAACAGTCTAATTGGAACGTCTGATGGGACTTATATATGTAATGTACGGATCAAGAGGGTTAAGTTTATTAATTTTTTTTCTTTCAAATAATGAAATACAACAAAAAGAAATTAAATTTAACCTCTTCCTTAATATTACTTAGTCTACTTTCAAAACTTCATCAATAATTACGTGAGACAACCATCCAAAGACAGGGAATACTGCCAGCGCCTCCCCATAGTTTCTTCATAGTTTATTTACCACTTTGCTTTTTTGTAGTAGCCCAGCACAAAGCATGGAGAGCTCAATTTTCAATGTTCAATATCGCTTCATTTTCAGAAATTTTGCAAGCGTGACTATTGCCTTCCAGTCGACGTATAATATGGAAAACTGGCTAGCAGCTAACAAGGTCGAATTAAATAACCTTATTCAAATAGAAGTGAAGCGATAAGGAGCCGAATTTAGTGGCAAAATGGATAGCGTTTGACGTCTGGCTAACACTCCTGACAGCTTATCGACTGATCTGTTTTCACTTTTACAACGGATGTTTTTCTTTCCAAGTAATCGCTGGTTTATCGGTTCAGACATTGACAAACAATACGCATTTAACTATAAAGGAGCTGTTGTTTTGACTATTATTTCATATTTCTTTTTTTGTTCATTAAAAAAATTTAAATAATAACTGAGCATGAAACTAAAAAATAATTATTTATTCATATGCTAAAAAATTTTTGGATTTTTTTCAAGCTTTTTTTTAATATCTTTGAAACGTTGCTCTGATTCGAAAAGAGGAAAACGTGGAATGAGATGATTTTAAAATCAATCTTCCCTTCCTATTAATTTCTCAAATTTTAATTCTATTTAAATTTCTATTAAATAAAAGTGAAAGTAAAGTTCTTTTGTCTCCACATGGTACAGGGAAACATTAGAGCTGATTATTTTCCCTTTTCAACTAATACAATCGGCTTCAAAACGATTCTCACAGCTGTACTTTTCCATTTACTTTTGCTATTAACAGATTGTCTCACGAGGATCCAAAGCTTCTACGTAAATCGATTCTGACGGTCAATGGCTCTTCTTGAATTCAACGCTTTTTTACATACTGATAAAAATGAAAAAAAGTTTTAACTTTCTATTTTCGTTTCAATTCTTTATATTTCATTTTCCCCAGCTGATTTACGAGTAAAGTGTTCTTTTTTCTTTCCTCAAATCATCACTTAAAAAACGGATATTTTTTTGATGAATAGCCTAATTGTAAGTGATGGTACCAGAGTATAGTCAAATATTTCTGAATCATCGCCAATAATAGTTTTTGTAACTAGATGAATACGCATGTCTTGCATACTAGTGAATTGATGCTTAATAATCGTAGTGGTAGTTACGCCATAAGATGTCGAAATATCTAAAGACCTATACATATGCTGAAAAATATTTATAAATCGTTTTAAAAGAAAATTATTTCGTCCTTGTCCTTTATATAATTACACAGGATATAAGAAACTCATATTGCTCAAGAGAGAGTGGAATGATAAAATTGTTGTTGAAACGATAAGTTCAACATATGCTAGCATGAAAAAAATGATAAGCTAATTATCTCACTGGCGCGTTTGATGGATAATAAATTAAATTAACAGCGTTGTCAAAATCAAACTGTGCACTTATTTGCTATGATTAATTATGTGACCCAGTGAATTTCCTTTGAAAGGATATTTGCGCCAAAGTGGAACGATTTTCTACTGATATAAATTTCTTTAGGTTCGGAGAATGCGTACATCTAAAACTTTGAAGAAGAAAAAAAATTAGCTTTTTAGAGCTGTTCAAATATTAAAAGACAGCATAACCGTAATGTTAAAAAGTTAAAATTAGCCTTTATATTTCAGACGTAGTTAAAATTAGCCCTAATCTTTACATTCGATACGTTTAATTGGTGCGGTATCGTTCCACGTTAAACTATTCTACCGTAAAGTGCTCGACTTCACGAGCAGGACGTCAGGCTACGAAAACGAGGGAGCAATATCCTCTGCAGAAGATCAAAATTGTCATGGCATTTATTCGGATCATCCTCGTGGATGTTTGCAAGACCATCGCCAATAGCCCATATTAAAGGTCCAGTCTAGTGCAACGAAAGTAAAGTACAGAATTATCGATTTTGTTCATCTTAAAGATTTTGACATCTTTGTTTTAGTTTAATTTTCAGAAAAAAAAATTAAAATATTGGTAAAACAATAACAATTGCTATTAAGTAAGAAATTTGCGATTGCAACGCTCGAACTTGAAATTTGGGGAAAAGATCGGTTCTATGTATTGATCCAGTGACGCACACAGGATAGGTTTTTCAGGGTTCAGTTTTTTTTTCAGGATCTCCCAATAAATCAATAGTAAAGTTTTTTTTTTTTTAGTTTTTTTAAATATTTTTTTTTATTATTTTTTTTAAAGGCTCTTGTAAATTATTAATTTGTTTAACTGAAATTTATTTACACCAAAAAAATTATCTTAAAATTAATTTTTATTTTAGTAAGGAAGTTAAGTATTCTTTCTTAGTGAGTAAGGAATCTCTAAACAGAATATCTTATCAAAGCATTTCGCAGGCTTCCCCCCCCCCTTTTTTTTTAACCCAAAGAGTTAACATGTTGGGTCAACTCTATGTTTGAACCCATTTTATCTTTCAGAAAACGAATACACTATGTGGGAGGGAGACAAACTATTTTGAAAACAAAACAAATGTAAAGGAAGGTGTGTTGAGTAGGATTGATACCCATTGTCCACACCGTTATTCACCAGTTTCTTTCATTATAAAGCAAAATACGACTCCGTACATGATTCAAGTGTTAAAACATGAATAATGTACCTAATGCTTTACTATAGATAATTAGAATATATTTCTCTGCAATACAATAAGAAAAAAACTGAGACACTTTAATTCGTTGATCTGCTTTTATAACAATGTCTAATTATAAAGTTAAAAAAAGAAAAAGTGGGAGAATATTTGTGATATTGTTTTCTATAAGAAAAAATAGAGCTCAAAATGAGTTTAAAAATACTGATAGTCAGATATCACAGTTCACAATAATACAACATAGTAAGATTGCACAGTCTTCAAAGGTTTGGATTCCATTTTCTGGACTTTTTTTAATGGCATTTGAATTTTAAATAAGGTATTAGAAAATGCTTTGACAAATTATGAGAAGAATGATTAAAAATGAATTTAAATGATTATTCGAGAAAAATCAAAATTTGCGCACAGGTGAAAATAAATTTTTTCTAGGCCCATTTATAAAAAGCCATTAAAATTTTTTAAAAATCTTATGTGTGCTTTAGTTTTTACAATTTTGTTAGGTATTCAAATAATGAGTAACAATTTAATTTGGCCTTCACATAACTAAGCCACTCACTGACAGACAATGAGAAATAATATTCCTACAGATTTCAAAAGAAACACTTTTTTATGCATGAATTTTCAAATGATACCAAATTCATAGAAGTTACTACAGCAAATCATTATAATCATTATCAGAAAATTGGGATGAAAATAATATCCTTGAAAAGATTTTACAATTCAGATGAAAATATTACGGATGAATTCACATTTCATTTTGTGGCTTAAATTTTTGGTATCTTGTGATAAAAAAAAAGGAATAAAGGTCGAACGTTTAGAATGTTAATTTTACTTTTTGTGAATATATCAAGAACTTTTTAAGCGAATTGAAAATTTTTTGCACACAATTATAAAATTAGCTTATTCAACGATAATTCAATGCAAACAAATAATTTCTACCAATTATTTATTATTTTCATTATTTAAATTAAGAATGGTAGAAAAAATTTGAATTTTAAGGTGTACATATTTTTATATCATTTTTAAGTATGTAATTTTATATGGTAAAAATTGCACGAAATCTGTCGAATTTTCCTAAGAAATTTAATTCTAAAAAAGTCGTATAGTTTAAATTCGATTTATCAGGGACCTTTCGGTTTATTTGGTTGAAATTTTAGATAAAATTAAATTCTTTAAAATGATTTAAAAATTTGTATATCTTACAATTCAATTTTTTTCGACCATTATAAATAATTATTAAATTTTTTTTTCATAGAATTATCTTTGCATAAACTAATTTTATAATTGTATACAAAAAATTTTCGATTTGTTTAAAAAGTTCTCCCGATATGGTGAAATATATTAGAAGTAAAATTAACATTAAAAGGTCCAAAATTTCAGCAGCTCTCCCATCTAGACCATATTTACCCAGATTACGGCAACTTAAAATACTGCCTGCAATAATTAATTAGCATATTTGAGGTCACCCCATGAACTATTAAGTTAGAGTCCTATAGGACCTATAGTCTATATCGTGAAAATCCGATCATTAGATCAAAAATTATTACAGGCATTCTATAATAAAAATTTGCATTTTCTGAAGAGAATGCTCTGAATTCACTTCCTCGAAAGACTAAGGAAAGTTAACTAAATTAAAAAAAGAAAGTAAGGTATTTTTTCTTTATTTTTACTCAAATCTTATTTTTTTTGCATTTTATCCATGTTAAGTAATGAAATTTTTTTTCGCTGCACAATAAATTTAATTTTTTGATGAAAAATAACTATCAGCTTAAAGAATTTATTTTTATATTATAATAATATTACCTAAAGTATTTTAGTAAAACATTTTAAGTATAATGTTATTGATTATGATAATTATTAATCATGATGAAGTAACAATTTTAAAACCCCCCTTTGAAAACTTTTCTGGGTGCGCCACTATCTTGATCCTCTCCATGTGGCTTCCGTACATTAAAACTTTTTATCTTTTTGAAAAACATGGCAGAAACGAATGTATTTTCTTCTCTTAATACTATGCACAATTTAATGGTGAAAGCATTAGAAGTGTTGTTTTTGGTAGTCATTTCAATCCGCAATAATGACGTCACGAGAAAACTAACCAGTGGCAGTGCCGTCCAATCTTCGGCGACTTTTCCGTTCAGTAAATATAACCCGTAAAATATTATTTCTAATAGTACAATTCATGCAACTAAACTTTTATCACTGTTTTGTTTCGGTTTAGTTTTCAAAAGCATTGCTCCTTATCTTTTTATTTTATACTTATTAACATAAATTATGATTTATTAACAAAGTGCCTAATATTATTTTTTAGTATCTTTTAAATAGTAAATATTTACATCTGTTGTATGAATTGTTGCTGGTTTATTCCATAAAGAATTATGATGGAAATATCTATAACAAGTAATTCTTTTTATTTTAAACTGCTTGGAACAATACGTAGTTAAAATGAATAGATAGTAGAACAATACGTAACAATTTTATAGTTAATTTTATCCGTTTTTATTTAATTAAATATTGCATTTTTTTACTCACAATTTTGCCAATAATATTAAATTTATGAGAAGAAGTTGGATTTGATTTGTTAGTTTATTTTGTGGTATGATAGCGAGCTACCCTTAACCCTAAACATTTCCATATGTCTTTTAAAAATTATATCCTTTATTTTTTAAGAATAGTTTATAGCTTTCCTCCAAGAGTACATTTTATGGCAGGCATATTTTGGAATGATCTTATGATTGTTATATTGCAATTGATTTTTTTAGAACAATTTGTTGAAGGAGAGGTTGCTTTTTCCGATATTGATAAATGTTTCCTATGTATGTTGATTTTAGGATTTCACTATTTCATACACTTGTTTTCTGATAAGAGGTAATGAAGAACTTATGGTACAATTCGAATCTAAAATAGAATGTTTTCCATGTAATATTTGATTACTGCTTTTATCCAGTCACATTGACTTTTTGCAAGTGCAAATGTAAATTTTTACTGTATTATTGTTTCTCTAATAAGTTCACGATTGCAAAGATATCTATAACAACATTTAAAAAACATATCTAAAACTGCTTTTAAGAGCTGCTATTTGGTGACGCTTGCTTTGAGAGCAAATAAAGTTTTTTCAGATTGAGAAAAATCAGAATGCAAAAGGAAGCATAATTTTGCATTTTCTAAAAATAAATCCTGGAAGAATTTTTTATTATGGTAATACTATATGTTAGAGAAATTTGTTAATGCTTTATTGCTTAAATCATGAAAAGATAGTGTAGACACAACTTTACACTAAACTCTTTTGCTTACATAAAATATTTCAAAGTAAACAAAATTCTTTTCCTTTCTCAAAAAAAGGGGAAAAATTAAACTTGTGATCTTTTAAATAAAAGTATTAGTAAAATAAAAATCATTATTTCTTGCTTTTTCTCTGATAACTGATAATTTATTCTGCCTCTTTAACTACAGTAAAAGAGTTGAAAAAACAGGAGTAGTTAGAAATGAGAGAAAATTAAAATTAGGGGAGAATAATCTATGAATATTAATGAAACTGAATTTTAATAGTATTTGAAGGAAACATTTGTGGACAGACTTTACCTTTACAATTATAGATGTTTTAGTTAAAAATATCTACTGTTTCTTATTTTCAATTATTATTTAATTTTTTTAATGAATTGACATTAATTACTTTTGGAATTTGATTTTGTTATTTTTATCTTTGTTAGTTAGTTTTTGTTGGTTATTTTTTTCTGATTATCTGTGCTTCTAATTCCATATCACGAGAAAAAAAAGAAAAATATATCTTTATTCAAGACAGAGAAAGTTCAATTTATCATCTCCTCACTTTTACTTGAATATTTATTTTATGTTTCTAGATTTTATTATGTTAAACATTCTTTAGTTTTTCAAATGTCATTCCACCGTATAAAGAAAATATTGTTGAATAAATTTGATGTTGATTTTTCTTTAATTTCTTATTTATTTATTGAACAATGATTTGACATTTGTTTACCTAAAAAACCTATTGGGTTTGGCCGAAGTCCTGATTATTCCAATCTGGGACTTTATAATGTTTTTTAAAATTTATTCTGTTAAGCCGTTTAGTTTTTTAAAATGAATAGCCAAAATTCAAGCTATTATTTTAAACATTATTCTATTTAATTTTCTTCTAATAGACCTTTATTTTTTATGAAACTTTTTTTTCTCTGAAGCTTTTGTGTGTGACCCAGTCGAAAATGTTCTCATAATGAAGATTACTTTTGATGCTAGTACTGTTAAATATATGTTTTTATTAAATTCAAGTTGAAATTTGACTATGGACATGATTTTTATGGATTTTTATATTTGGATACAATAATAAGCCCAAAATTTTCAATGCAAAATTGTTTTTGAACATATGGGACAATATATATAGAAATTTACCAGTCATAAATGATTTTTATTAGTAGAGATTATTTTTGGAAATATTTTCTTATTTTACCTTATTTTTGTGTTGATTTTTTAATTTAATTTTCACAAATTATGTCTAAATTTTCATAAAATTGGTACCTCTTAAAAAAAACCTAGACAGATCCCTGATTGCAATTCATATGTTCATAATGTTCCATTTTTTTGGGTGATTGAATTTATATCTCCCTTAAAAAATTTAAAAGTGAAATAAATTCAATACAAACTTTTTTGATCTGCTGGTTATTTATAATAGCTTATCTTAAGAAGTAATTTAGCATTTTTTTCCTTCCAAATTTTTAGTTTTCAGAGAGTTAAATAGAGGAGAAAGGAACACAAAATGAACATGACTTACTAAGACAGTTTGAATTTATAAATTCTCAATAATTGTGGTCTATTAAAACTCTCAGAGTGCAATAAGCTACATGGAAAAATTTAATTTAATCCCAAAACCTAGAATCGTCGTAGCTGCTCAAAATAGTGTTAAAAAGTAATAAATTATCACTTTAAGACACTCTTGGTCGGATTCATGTATACCGCACTTGTTAATTCAAGGCATTTGCTATATGTGTTTGATTTTAGATTAATTTTTTAAAAAGAGGAGAAAAAAATATTTTATACATTACAATTTCATAAGTAGAAATGTGTTAAACAAATATTTTTTAAGACAAAACATTAAATAGAAGGATTTTGTTGTTTTATTTATCACATTTCTGTATGTAATTTTTGAAGCTTGTAAGTATGCTTGTGCAGTGTACTTCAGGTAGGCGTGTGCAAATGTAACTGAAATGAGCACAATTAATCTTAAAAAAGTAATAAAATGGTGAAGGACACGTAGCGTTGAATGGTGAAGGTGCGTAGCGTTTGTAAAAAGTACTTAAAGGTGCTTTTTGGGAGATTTCGTTTTTAAAAGCTTTTAAAGGTGCTTTTTTCAGCTGGCGTTTTTAAAAAGTGCTTTTTTTCACAGTTTTTTTTGCCTTCAGTGATATCTGGCGGATCCCCTGCATTTCACGAAAAATGGGGTGTTTGCTACGTAATCATTCACACGGACTTCATTTCGTAACCACGTTATGACTTGCGCATGCGCGCACACTCGAAACTGAAACCCGAGTGCTCCAATTCGGATAGAGTCAGATCCTTATTAAATGTTTTTCTTTTTAATTTATAATTTTATTCTTGNCCTTTCCAAGAAAACAAATATTATTATCATTTCAAAAAAAGACTTTCTGATATTTTTCACTAGAGTTACATTATTTTTAATTTAACTTTTGTAACTTAGTGATAATAGTGCTTGAAAAGTTTTTAAAAAGTGCTTATTTTTGATTCAAAGATTTGGCTACGCACCCTGAAGGAGCATACAGGATAATACGCAATCATGCAGGATGCTTAAACATAGGAATTTCTCTAATAATGATGTTTTTTTGTTTTTATTTACTTAAAATTATTTTATATTTCAGCTCTTCCTTTTATTGAATGACTATCTTGTGAATTGTGTTGGCTATTATTATAAATTTCTTTGCAATCCAGGTGGAAAAATAAGTGAGTTATTTTTACATATGATAAATATATCAATATTTGTATTTTATTATTTTGACAAATTATGTATCAATATTAACTTAATAATTATCTCTTATAAATGTAGACATTTTCCTGTAATTAAAATGAAGTAGTGTTGAATTTGTTTTCATTGGATATGTACTTTACTAATAACATGTTTTTTTTGCTTCATTACATTGAAATTTTTCTCATACATGTTAATTTTTCCCAATTTTCTTGATTTTTTGTGGTATATCCTAACCTTCTGAAAATTTTCATTTGTCATAACTTTTTACCTGTGAGAAAATTTTCTTTTTTCTAATTTCATTGAATTTTTACTTTTAAACTTCTTGTTATATTGTTTTAAAAAGCTGCAATCAAGGCTTGAAGAAAATGTTTTACTTCCTTAAAGCTTCAATTAATTTTTTAACAATATTTATATTTACTACTTGGTGCCATTGAATAAAGCAGTTTTTAAAATACAGGACAGCTATATTATCCGGAAATCAGAAAACTGGAAAACCAAAAAACCGGAACGAAATTCGATACATTTTCCTGCCATTTAAAGAAAAAAAAAAAATTTTTTTTTCCTCATAAGATTTTAGGATTTTTTTTTCTTTTTTGAAAGATGTTTACCTTACCATCATTTTGGAAATAATCATTAGTGTATTACTTCGTTTTAAGATTATTTCCAAATTTGTTTTTTTTTTTAGTTCGGTTTAACAATAAAAAAACAGTTTTTTTGTAGCAATTCAGGAAACCGGAAAAATCATTTATCCGGATTAGCGATGATCCCGATCGTTCCGGATAATCGCTTCCCTACTGTATTTGTTTTTATGAAGAATGCACTACTTTAATTCAGATTAGGTATCCCCACCCCTGCTATTAATGTTTATTTTGAGATAAAATATGCCTAAGTTTGAGTGAGTCAAGTTTATTTTAGAATGAATCAAATGAGTAAATGTTGGAACCAACTTTGCAGTCTTAACTGACCAGATTGCAGTCTTAATAGACACTTTGAAACAGACTGTATAGTTAGATGCCATTAATATATGTGTAATATTTTTAATAATTTCTCTTCCATGAATTAGATTAATAACACATTATTTTGAAAGCTATAATAAACTAAGCATTTACACAACCTTTTTTATGAATTCACATAATTTTCTTTTAGAATACCAACTATTTATTTATTTTCATCCTAGAGATGTTAAATTTCGATAATTATCTTTTGGAAAGTATTTTTGGGAACATTCTTATCAAGGAGAGTATTCATAATTAATAGTATTTTAAATGTGAATTAGTATCTTTAAAATTAAAAAAATATATTAATAACAAGTGTAGTTAAATGTGATTAACTACCCTTATTTAACTACTTAACTATATTAAGTTGTTAAATAAGTGTAGTTAATATAAATGAACTATATTAAGAAGAATAGTTATAAACAAAATTTTTTTGTTCTCATTATTTAAAAATTGTTAATATATTTTATTTAAGATTTTTTTCAGATAAAATAGTTTTAATAAATGAGATACATTTTTCGAAAATTGTTCTCAAAACTTTCTCATAGTTATTAGATATGCAAAAATATATCGGAAAGAACCATAACCAATTTTTGCCATATATCAATAAAAGACATTGTTTTCAATTTAAAATTCTAAAATAGAAAGTTATGGTAAAGAAAAACTGACAAAATCCATTATTCAGGGCTGATTGTATTCCGAGGGTATCCCAGAATTCCATGTTTTTTTTATCATTCTGGGTCTAAAAATTAGGAGCAGTATATATGATTTTTCTAGGAATATCGCGGAATTCCATGTTTCTCAGGTATCTAATCAAAACTTATAACCTCAACGATATTTTCATGTAATTCCTCAATCTAAGATTCAAATTTCAAAAGATTCTCTAATTCCTGCTAACGAGATGCTTGCGTGCATGTAATTCTTCTGCCAATCAGCAGAAATCCGCCGATTAATTCGTATGGTTTGGCAGATTTCCGCCATTTTGAATGTTTGAAACTGCCCTGAAATCCACTATTTTCCTAATTTAAGTTACATGTTGCAATTTGTATTCACATGGTTTAAAAATAGTTAATCTTGATTCGTTTTCACGCTATTTTAAAAATCCAACATCGCGATTCTTGTAATAACGAAGATTTTTCCAAAACTAGTTACTATAAAGGTGTGATATTTTCATCGTCAGTAGTTAATATTACTATAAATCTTATTAAAAAAATCATGTTACACGCAACAACAAATACGCAACAAGTATGCAAATAGATATCTTGATATCGATTTTTTCACATAAAATTTTCAGGGTTTTTCACTTTGTATCACAATCACCCCTGATCATTATGATAAAAAGAAATGGCGGATGACCCCTCTCAGTTACATCTACATGCTTTTTCTGCTTCTCATTCTTGTGAGTGAAAACAAAGACAGGGTTGATTGTATTCTAGGTGTACCCCGTAACTCCGGGTTTTTTGTATCATCTGTCTGGGACCAGGGCATGAGATTTTTTACGGAATTCCGCTTATCTCAAGACTTGATTCGCGAACTTTCGCAAATCAGAACTTATAATCCAACAAAATTTTCACCGCAATCTAAAATTTAAGGTAAGAATTAAGTTCTACAATCTAAATTTTGAAACCTTCGCTGAATTGCGTTAACAAAGAAAGTGAGTCTTCCGCAATTTCTTTTTTTGTTTTGTTTTTGTTTCTCAGATTTTTATTGTTTTAAATCTTTGAAACTACATCGAAATCTCCTAATATTGCAATTTTAATATTGAACATCGATTTTCATATTTACCTGATTTAAATCATTCACTGTGAGTCATATTCAGGCGATTTAAAAATCCAACATCGCAATTTGTATTTACAAGTTTTTGAAATCAATATCGCGATTCTTATTCATTCGAAATTTAAAATCTAATGTCGATAGCCGACGTGGCCGTATTCGTATTTACGCTTTTCAAAAATCTGATGTTGCGATTTGTATTATTGCTTTCCTAAATCCAATATCACAATTCATCTGCACAATTTAAAAACCCTATATCGTGATTTTTGATTCCCTGTTCTTGAAATCCGATATCATGATTCTTGTAAGAACTAAATTGTTTCTTAAATTTGTTACTATAAAAGTGTGTTTTATGGAAAGGTAATTTAATTATAAATCTTAGCGCTAAAATTATATTAAATATGAATAGTATTTAAATTGATATCCTGTTATCGAGTATTTGGTCATAAAATTTTCAGGGTTTTCTATTTCCTGCCACAATCACCCCTGCAAAGAAGAGGTAACTCCAAAACATGCATTTTGAATGCATCAACCGCTTCTTCGGGGGTCGAAAATCGTTGTTCGCGTAATTTATTTTTGATGTGTGGGAATAAGAAGAAGTCATTGGGTGCCAAATCAGGGCTGTACGGTGGATGACCCATCAGTTCGATCTTTCGCTCCGTCAGTAATGCCTTTGTTTGAGTCGATGTGTGAGATCTCGCATTGTCATGATGACGAATGATTCGCCTGTTCTGCTTTTTTCGAATTCCTCCGATGACTTCTGGCAAACAAATGGTCGTGTACCATTCAGAATTGACCGTCCTGCGTTGCTCTAACGCCACTATTGCCACATGACTGTTAATGCCGAAGAAACTGGCAATCATTTGTTTCGATGTGCTTCTTCCTCGAACAACTTTTGTTGGTTTTGCCTCGTATTGGGAGACCCATGCAGTTAATTGCTGTTTTGTTTCCGGCTCATATGCATAGATCCATGATTCGTCACCTGTGTAGATGTTATACACAGCTTTTGATGTACCTTGAACGTATTTTTCCAGCATTTCCTTGCACCAATCAACACGAGCCTTTTTTTGAGCGTTTGTCGGATTATGCGGGATCCAACGCGAACAATTTTTCTTTTACGCTCAAATGTTCATGCAATATTTTATTGATGCTAGTCATACTAATGTCCAAAGACGCCTCTATCTCACGGTATGTCACATGACGATCTTGCTTTATAAGTTCACGCACAGCATCGATCTTTTCTGGCACAACAACGTATTTTGGACGACCTGCACGGGATTCGTCCTGGATCGAACATCGACCACGATTAAATTCGTTATACCAATTTTTTGCAGTGCTGTAGGATGGCGCTTTATCGCTGAATAAAGAATGAAGTTCATCGAAGCACTCTTGTCTTGACAATCCACGTCGAAAGTTATGAAAAATAATGGCACGAAAATGTTCACGGTTCATTCCATTTTTTGAAAGAGAAGAACTTTTCAATTTACTGTCAACAACACTAATGAAGCTATAATGGTAAATCGTCGGATGAATTTATGTTTAAAAATATCAAACTTTCGATTAAAATTGTCTGCGGTCGCCTAGCAACACTTACTGTTGCGAAGGCCAGAAATATAAATAGCAACCCTCGTACTAAAGAAAATTTCATTGTCAGAACATGAAGATATTTTTATTTAATTTTCAACCATTTAAAATTTTGTTTGAAAATTAAAAAGAAATAAGAAAAGTTTTATCATCTTTTTATTAACAACGTTTTTTTTCAAATATAAAGATTATCTTTTAAACTTTTGAAATTTCAAAAGTTTTTGTTTTAGGAAAAAAAAAATTGCAAAAAAATCAAAATCTTCTGTACAGCTTGTTAAAATCACAGTTGAAAGAAATTTCTTGAAATAAAAAACATCAATAATGGGCAGTGGATAGATGGATGAATGGAAATCTCAGTAATCACTTTTCCATGTGCTCGATATCATCTTAAATCTATGTTAAAAAAAATTCTTTTGCTGTTGATCTATTTTTCCCCATGGTTTTTAAAGTTCCAGTGTTATTACGACGACACATGCATTAAATTTGAATCACGCCTTTGAGTAATCACATTTTGATGTGCTCGACTTGCATGGATAACATCGTAAATTTATCCTATGTTTCTAAAAAACCCGCCTGTCACACATCCTAATTCATTCTAGCAGCAGTTCAATGTAAATGTTTCTTCAGAGATCTTTTATGACCATTTGAGTGGCTCATTCCTCTTTTTTCTTTCCTCTGACCACATTATGCATTAAAAGTACCGTAATAATAGTTTTGCCTTTTAAATTGTTATAAAAAAATTTATTTTTGTTATAATTTTTTATTATTATTATAGATATCTAATGCCATATTGTATAATATAACCATAAAACATATATGAGCACATGATATCAATTCATTTTTAAGAAGAATATTTTTGTTTTGACAGTTAAAATTGTTATACTCATTGTTATATCTCTAATGCACTACACTAAAAATAATAATGAAATTCCATACAAATTATTCAACAAATACTACCATACATAATATCAATGCATATTCATTACAAATTAAGAAATTTTTTGTTTTGTTTCAAGGACATGATGCACCAATGAATTCTTTTACACAGCAGAAATATTCCTTTAAGCAAAAACTCACACTCAACAAGGCTTCAAGGGACGTCACTCAACCTCTTTTTAGCTATCCTAGCAGCATATATAAGCAGCTACACCATGGCAAAATACTCCTAAGAGAAAGAAAAAAAAATACTTGCCTAAACAACATATTAGGCTCTGAAATTTTGCTTCACTGTAATTAATTTTTATGTTCCCACAGATGTGAAACAATTAATCAAAAGCTTACATTATTTTTAAATAGAATACGAGGAACAAAACACGAAATATTTATAGTGAAACATTGATAATTCAAAGTATTCGCGGAAGCCGAAACTACCTCAAGTTATTAAAAATTGGCCTTATAGAAAATTTAAAAAATATATATTTCCTTTAAGTATTTCATAACACCTTGATCTATTGGCTCAAGGTGTTATGAAATACCTAAAGAAAACATAATTTTTTTGCTGAATGTCATGATGGGTAGAAATATGAACTTTTTTCATGTTGAAATTTCTAATCAAGTTTTGATAGCCATTCTTCAAAAAATGAACTTCTCATCTGAGTAGTTAAGCTTTAGTGAAGTTTTAAATCAATGAGGATCAAAATTGTGATGGCATGCCTTCGGATCATCCTCAGGGATGTTTCCCAGACCGTCGCCAATAGCCCATTGTGCAGCTCTAGTGCGACGTAAATGAACAACAGCAACAACAATTAAAATGGCTAGTATAGTAAGTAGTTTATAAAGGATTAATTTGTGATGATAGGGTAAATGTATTTATACTTTATTAAAATGTATTATAATTCATAGCCATATTTCAATTTCATAGCCATTGTTCAATGAAAATTAGATTTTCATTATTTATCCTAGAAATGTCATGATCCTAAATCATCCCTGGTGATCTTATATTTCAAAGCTTGAGAAAATTTTAATTAATCAATATTCATCATCACATTTGAAGTTAATTAGTTTAAGTCTATTTTAGCTTTATATCTATTTTTTGAGAAAAGTTTTTGATTTACTATAGATGCTTATTTAATCTTTGTTCTTTTAATTTAGAATGTCATCTAGAGAACAAAATAGAAAACCTCCTGGTCAAGGGAGAGGAAACCAAAACTTTAAACCATCTGGACGAAAAGATGATCAAAGTGGAAAGTCAAATAAAAATCCTAATCAAAGCAAAGATCAAAGTGGAAAGTCAAATAAAAATCCTAATCAAAGCAAAGCTAGTTCAGATTCTAAATCTTCTGGTCAGAATCGTGAACCACAGCGTGGAAATCCTAATAAAGGCCAGTCGAATAATCAAAATCCCAAAACATCAGGTAAAAAAGATGACTCTACTAAAGTTAAAGTATATAGGAATCCTGCACAACAAAACCAGCAGGCTAGAAATACTGTCTCAAAAGAAGAGCAACATCAATCCTTTTCTCAAAAGAAAACTTCTATAAAAATTGGTTTCAACAATCCTCAACATTTGGTAGATTCATCATGTAATATCCTTGCTAATAAATCTAGTGCCGCTTCAAGTATTTTCCAGTTGGCAGCAAATGCTCTTACTCATCTTTCTTTTGATTTAGAAACCACCACGATTCAAGGAAACAAATCTTTATCCTACCAATCTAATACAACACAACGGGGTAGACCTGGATATCAGAATAGAGGAAACAGAAGAGGTAGAGGTAGAGTGTCTATAAATACTAGCAATCCACCTCGAGCAAAGTCTAATGATTCTCCTGCTGAAATACGTGTTTTTTCTGGTCGTCAAGAACCAAATAGGGGGACTGCTAAAATTTTTAGAGGCAGTCGACCTAATTATATGCCACATCGCTTTAATAAACTTAGGCCTCATATGCCCCAGAATATACCTCCAGTTAATCCCACATTCAACTCACATGCTCGTTTCATGTCACCTAATCAGACTACTCCAAATAGGCCATTTCCTCCTACGTCTACTTTCATGTATCCTAATCAGACAACTCCAAATAGGCCATTTCCTCCAATGTCCACTTTCACGTCTCCAGGATACCAAGAGCAATTAGGATCTCTTAATACTGGTGTTCTAAACAGTAATTCACAAGTTAAAGCCCCAATCTTTAAAAAAAAGAAGAGCAAGTCTGCTGCTAAAATTTCAGATCAGACATCAAATACTACCTATTCTAACAATCAACCTAAACCTGTTAGTAGAGCAAGGAAAAGACAGCAAAGAAGACAAAATATGTGGAAAAAGAGTAAAACTCCAAATCCTAATCAGGCTGCACCACTGCTTTCATTTCAGCGTGTTTTGCCTTCTTCTGAAGGAAGAAAACATTCCATATCCTCTGAAGAAGATGATGCTACTACATTGTCAAGATGTTCTTCCGTTGAAAGCGTTTGGACAACAACTGTTTCTGACGATGCAGCAGAGGCTAGCTCTTCTGATGAAAGTGAGGTTACAAGTGAAATCTCTATGACTTCTAGTTATATAGACAGTGGAATCACTTCCTATGCATCTGATGTAAGCACATCTATTGCTTCTAACACATATAAAGTAATAGCATATTATTGGGATATAGAAAACTGTCCTGTTCCTCACAAAAAGTCCCCCACTGACTTTGTGAAACGTATCAGAGAAACTTTTAATGCTGGACGAACTGAATTTGAATTTTTTGCTGTGTGTGATGTCACAAGATTAAGTAATATTATTGCTGAGGAACTAGATCGAGCATCTGTTAATATGATGCATGTAAGCTTCACAAATAAGAATGCAGCAGATAATAAGATAAAGACATTACTTCAAGAATTTCCTGACAAATGTCGTACAACTAAAGATTCTGCAATTGTTTTGATATCGGGAGACTCAGATTTTGCTGATACTTTAAATAGTTTGAGATATAAGCACCACATTTATATTTATTTAATATGTAAAAAAGATGCCAAACATTCATTAATTGAGGCAGCTAATGAATATCAGTTTTATGATAATTTTGTGTGTGATTTGCCTACAAGAGATGTTGAAAAAAAGAAAAGTTATCTAATAACGTTGTACAACTTTCCTGATTCAATGAAAAGTAAACAAATAAAATCTTACGTTAATGGAAAAATTAAAAATTTGAATTGCAGGATTAGAACTATCAATGGGAACAAAGCAGAAATATCATTTCCTAATGAGGCCCTTCGTGAAAAAGCATTGGAAATGGTAAAAAATTTATTTAAGGATGGCAAGGAAATTCATTTTGATTGTTCTGAGACTGAAACTGGTTTAGAAAATTCTATTGATAAAAATAAAGCAACAATGCAGAAAAAACCTGAAAAGAAACCTGCTATTAAAAAGGAGACTGTCTTATCTAAGGAATCTGAGAGTAATACATCTATGTGTAGAGGAGCAACTTTATGCGTGTTTGTAAGCGTGGAACAAGGAAATATGCTTCATTGGAAAAATAAATTTAAAGACATTTTTGATACAACTGATTTTGAACTGAAGTGGGATGAATCAGGTTATGATGGATATTTCTTGATATTTTTTGAAAGTATCAGTAAAGCTCAAAAAGCTAAAAAACTACTTCAGAAAAACCAAGAAAAAGATGTTACTTCTCCTAAATTTTTAAAGTTGATAAAGGGGGATGATGTTTTAGGGAGTTTAAATTCTACTAATAAAATTCAAGAAATAAATAAACAGAAACTTGATGAGCAGATTCGATCCATTGAAAGTAAGAGAGAATCCTGTTTAAAAAAACACAAAGAAAAAATGTCGATTATGAAAGCAATGTCTGAATCTTCTGTACTTGAGGCAGCTGAAACAATTACTGAAAAATATAACGAACTTAATGAACAAAAAGTATGTTTTTTGAATTTTACTACAGTTATGGTGGACAATTTAAAAAAATTCGATGTGTCAAATGAAACTGTTGATAAAGATCTAGGTCTCCTTTTGAAGGATTATAACCGAGAATGCAATTCCTTCTTGTCATTTTTACCAATTTATGCAAAGAAAAATCTTATTTTGAAAAAGATAAGAAAGCACCAAGTGGTAATTATACGTGCTGAAACAGGCTCAGGAAAAAGCACCCAGTTGGCTCAATATTTATGGCGAGAACAAGCTTTCTGTAAAAATGGTTTAATCATCTGCACTCAGCCTCGTAAAATAGCTGCCATTGCATTAGCTAAGCATGTGAGTACCCAGATTGGTTGTTCTCTAGGTGATATTGTGGGCTATCAAGTTGGTTCTACTTCTAAAAAATCTCCTAACACTGGAATTCTTTTTGTTACTGATATTACTATGTTGAAAATGATGGTGAATGATGAATTAAAAAATGTATCCTGTATTATAGTTGATGAAGCACATGAAAGAACTGTGTATACTGATTTACTTCTGGGAATGATTAAGAGCTGTTTAGATTTTAGACCACAATTGAAACTTATAATTACATCAGCAACTATTGATACATCTATTTTTGTTGATTACTTTAAACTCCAAGAGGATAATGTTTTGAATGTCTCCGGTAGAACATTTCCTGTAGAAGATGTATGGTTAGACAAAGAAGTAGCTCTTGGCTGGGATTATTTTCCGAAAGCTATCAGCACAGTTTGTGACATTTTAGATAAAGAAAGTGAAGGAGATATTTTGGTTTTCTTAACCACTCCTTTTGAAACTGAGAAAGCTATGAATGCACTAGAAAAAAAGTTAACTGATAAAATGAAGCAGTTAATTCAAATATATCAATTACATGGTAGACTTGATGTTACTGAGCAGCAAAAGGTATTTGAACGACTCCCGAAAGAAAAAAGAAAAATAGTATTTGCTACTAATTGTGCAGAAACATCTATTACCATTCCTGGCATTAAATACGTTGTTGATTGTGGGTTTGTTAAAGAATCGCAGTACGATGCGATAAGGAATATGAATGTTATGGCGATTAATTTTGTTAGTCAAAGTTCTTCAGAACAACGAAGAGGTCGGGCAGGTAGAACTCAGGCTGGTAAATGTTATCATTTATACAGTAAATCCAATTTTGATAAAATGATCAAAAATAGTGCACCCGAAATTTTAAGATGTAACTTAGGTAACGCTATGTTAAAGCTGATGAAAATTGGTGTTAAAAACCCTACTCAATTTGATTATGTTCAGTCACCTCCAAGAGATGCATTAGAATTAGCAATGAAGCAACTTAAAAATTTAAAGGCAGTTACTGATGATTTTTCACTGACTCTGTTAGGGGAAAAAATATCTTGTTTGCCCCTTGAACCAAGATTGGGTCATTTAGTGTTTGATGGCATTGATAATGATATTGGATTTGAAGCAGTTGTTATGGCAGCTTTAGTTACAGTTTCAAGGAATATCTTTTTCAGAACATCAGAAAATAGGGAAGAAGCTGATCTGAAGAAGATGCAGTTTTGCCAAAGTGAAAGTGACTTTATAACATTTTTTGATATATATAAAGAATGGGCAGGTGTTCCTAAACAAGCAAAAAACAGATGGTGTGTTGTAAATTGCATTAATGCACGATCTATGCGAACTGCTCAAGATCTTGTAAATGAGATCATTCAAATTCTTCAGACAGAAGTACAGGTGAAAGTTCTAAGTAGGTTTAAGGAAGTATCAGTACATAATAGTCTTTTGAAAATTATCTTCCGCAGCTTTTACCAGAACTTGTGCATCTTTTCTGGGCATACTAAGTTTGGATATAAATCACTTGATATTCCAGATAACTTAATGATCCATCCTTCTTCATCTTTATTTACATTTGGTAATAAGTGGAGACCTCAGTATTTAGTCTATGATTCTGTTTTAAAAACAGATAAAACTTATCTGTTAAATGTGAGTCCTGCATCAGACGATTTATTAGTTGAGTTTCAATCTGTCGATTGTGTACAGCTACCTTTAGAAGAATTGGAATTATTAACTTTTCAAACATATAGTGTATACCCTGTTGGAAAAATAATTCTTTCACATGATGTTATTGGAAAGAAAGGCATTCTGAAAAGAAATTTAGAAGATACCTTGAAAAAATCTCTTGAAAGTGACTCAGTTGTTATTGATGTTGATTTTCCAAATGGAGAGATAAAAGTCTGTGCTCCTCAGTCCCAAGAAGATTGTATTCAATCTGTATTTTCACCTCTAATCAGTCGTGCACAAGAAAGATTATTTAATGAAGAAAAAGAAGTGTCTCTTCAGTCTAGTTTAAATGCCATCATATCAGCAGGAGCATTAATTAAATACATTATTTTCCCTGGGGAATTTAGAGAACTGAAAGTTTTTTTAAAAGACCTGACTGAAATGTCAGCTGCAGTTGAAAAATTGCAAACATGTGGAAAGATTGATTTAGTGCTTGAATCAAAAAATTACTTTAAAGTAACCTTCTCTAGTCCAGATGAGGCGAAAGCAGCTTTGGAGCATTTCAAAGATGACAATTCTTTTAGATTACAAAAAGTTGTTAGAGCAAACTCTTTTTATGAAAAAGCTAATCAGTATAAACTTCGTGTAACATTTCTGAGAAGAAAATGTACTGGTGTAGCTTTTGTTACTGTTGATACTCCTACATTTCTTCCTATTGTTTTAGACAATTTTAAATATAAATTGCCTCAATTCAAAAATTCACGTTTAAGCGTTTCTCAAAGTTCTAAGACTCAAGATATTAGAATTCAAGGACTACCTTATGATGCAGAACAATATGAGTTAAGAGCCTTTCTCAGTCCCCACATGCCTGAAGGATGCAAAATCAGTAAATGTATTGTTGCAAGAGAAAATCCTCATGAGAGTGTTGATTCAGAACTTATGTCTACCAAACAGAAGATTTTAAATTTATTTACTGAATTCACACCAAAGGAGAAAATAAGCATTGATCTGAAAAAGGCTTCTTCGAAGGACTCTTGGTGGCATGCATTTGTTTGCTTTGAAAATTGTCGTGAAGGTGAAGCTGCATACACAACACTGATGAATCGCAAGTACATTCCAGATATTGTGGGATTGAAAATGAAGCCTATGTTGCAATCGTTTTTGTATACTAAACTTGATGTATTTAATGCTGTGAAACCACAAATTGAAGAAGCCTTAGAATTTTTTAAAAATAACTCTGTTGTTGATAAAACCTTAGAAATAACTGTTGTTCCAAAAGGTGAGCACAATGTTCAGATACTTATTACAAGCAATAACATTTCTGATATTACAGATGCTAGAAAGGCTATTTTAAATTTCTTATTAGGCGATGCTATACACTGTGAAGGCAACGAAAATTTGGAGAAATTGTTTTCTAGAGAAGGTTTGGCATTCCTCAAACAAATTTCTAACAACAGAACTAACTTTTACGTTGAAATCAACATTCAGAAAAAGGTTGTGACTCTGTTTGGAAATGAATCCGTTTGTAGTGAGATTAAAATAGAAATTCAAAATTTTCTTGAAAAGCTGGAAGATGAAAATATTGCAGAGATAAGCTTGATGCCCGAAAGTTGCAAGCCAGGTGTTCTTCAACATTTGCTGAAGAATTATGGCCATAATTTGGATAATTTAAAAGAAATTTGTTGTTTAACATGTATTGAAATAGATATTCGTGGCCATGTTTTGCATGTCAGAGGAAGAAATACAGCTATATCAAAGGTATTAAATTTATGATTTTATATAATTTTAAATTAATGCCTTAATTAATTGCCTAACCTAACGGAATAAAAATCTTGATAAAAAAATTAACAGATATGTTGTAACTTTGCCCCATTATCTTGTTCAACATAACATTTACAAACAAGCCCCAAAGATGATTTATCTTCTTGAGATATAGTTCACAGGAATTCTTATAATGCTTAAAACATTCTCCATATTTAAAACTGTTTTTAGAGCACTAGAAATTTGCTTTTATTTTTAAACTCTAAATTTTTTCCTGCATACGTAAAGGTTCTGAAAATCTAACCACTATTTTAATTTTTCTCACAGCTTCTCAAATTCTTAAATATTTCTTATTTTTGGCATCCTGTAATTGAAAAATCCTGCAATAGAATACTAATTAGTTGTTTCATGTTTATCTTGTGTAATAAAATTGTAAGTTGTTTGGTAGATTTGTTACAGTATGCTGATAAACTCTACCTTCAATCTTGTATAAGAAATGGAATTATTGTATGTCCATACTAATGAAAAATAAAAGCATTTAATATGTTTATTGTTTTGGCATGTGACATTATTTTAATTGTGGAAGGATGATCATAATGTCTACTAGCATTGTATTGGGCAGAGTATTATGATGATTAATCAATTTAACATTGAAATTTGATTGCCCTCAATTTAAAAGCATTTTTATTTTTAAGTCTTAAACTTTATATTATGTTAGTTTGGAATTGTAATTTTAATAAATTTATCCTTTCCATTTTGTATTCTTATTTATTTATTTTTTTTAAAAATAATTTACAGTGTCAGGATATAGTAAATGGATTGTTGGAAAATTGTGAAGAAACCTTAGAAGAGAATGATGAAGAGGACTGTCCTGTATGCTTTATGGAAATTGATCGTGATCAGTGTCATAGATTAGAGTATTGTGGGCATGCTTATTGTAGTAACTGTCTTGTACATTTATTTCTTAACTCTGATGATTATCCACTTTGTTGCATTGTAAGTATGAAGAAGAGTTATTGCATTTTTAGAACTGAAATATCCCTTAATATTGTTAAAAGTTAATTTGAAAGTTTACAACCTAAAATTGTTTTTCATTAAACAAGTACTTTTTGTAAATTTTAACACTTTAAATGTAGTTTGTATTAGAAATGCAACAAACAATGATTTGGCCAGAAGCTGAATACATGAGCTATCACTCTGACTTACAAGTTTTTGACTTACAAGTCACTTTGACTTTGCTATTTAGTTTCCATATACTTCTGTAATTCCAAAATAAAAATGAGGTAAAGGTTGCTAAAAATGGGGATATGGTGCCTGTTGCGCATTAAAATTATGTTACTCTCGATAATATTTTCTTAAGCGTCTGATTTTATAAACCGGAATCTCTACGTTTGGGGAGAAAATGTTTCAAATTTAAACTTTCCAGACATACTAGAAGTTAAATTCATTACTTTATTTATATTTTACTTTTGCTGAATAATCTTTATTCTAAATCTAGCCATAATTTTTAATTTACAGAATGATTTTAAAATATTAGCGTATTTGTTTAATTAGCAAAATTTGTAGTTAAAGATTCAACATAGCTTAAAAATTCATGAAAGTTTTTGTAACTTTCAATATTTCTTTTTCTTTGCTATAAAGTTCATTTAAAAATATCAAATGCCTCTCAGGCATTTATTGAAGTTATATTTATCTTATTAAATAAATGATTGAGTGATGATCATTGACATTCAAATATGATAGGTCTTTCATAACTTTTCTCTATTTATTAATAGTTTTCATTTGGACTTTTTTTTACTGCCCCTCCATACTTTTTTTTAACTTCAATTTTCCTAGGAAGTGTGATCCACATTTATAACTTTGTTCTTTTTGTTCATAGAGGGCAGAATCAAATTCGTCATTTATATACTACACATCTTTCAAAACTTAAATACAAAATTCTAATTATTCTAATCAAACAAAAAAAAAACAGTTTTTAATTTTTTTTAATAGTGTGCTAAACAAAATTTTGATTTTACAAAATGACAATAATGGTTACATTTAAGGATAGTTTTATAATGTGTTGATATTATAATAATTCTGTTCCATTAGATTTGATTTTAAAAAGCAGCTGATTTGATCGGCGGTGGTCACTGTATCTCAAAAAATATATGTAAGATGAAATAAATAAAAATAATAAGGTTTTATGTTCTAAAAAACCTAGCTAATAACACCATTCCTTTACTGAAATTCCCTCATTAAAGGGGGTTTAGTTAGGTGTTTTAAAATATCAAACACCTATTTTATTTTTTAATTATTCTTGCTTCATTTTTATTTTGTGATTTCTGCACAATATATTAACTGAAGTGTAATAATCTGTAAGTTGAATTAGAGTGTATTTTTTTGGAAGAATCTTAAGTTTTTAGGAAAATTGTGAGTTCTCATTTAAGATTTTAAAGCTGCCTAATCCGCAAAAGACAAGTTTGTTATTATTGAATGCATTTGCAAACATGTATTTTTAGAGCTTTCATGTGATGCATGTTTCTTCCATTTCTATATTTTATGGTTCAGATGAGGATATATGGTTGTAAGTCAACTATTTATGATAATGTAAAGAAGAATATTTTTGAAATATATTGCAAGAAAGTTACACTTCTCTTGTTGCTTTTATTGTAAAACTATAAAATAGTTATCTATTTTTTAATAATATAAATAAAATATAAAATAATTTAGAAATCTTTTTTGATCGATGTTTTAATATTTCAGTCATGTGGAGCTTATATTGTATTGGCTGACTTAGATTGGGCCATCAAGGAAGTTAAAGTGTCTGAAGCAGATCTATTGAAAAAGTCTCTTCAAGCATTTATTCAAAGCAGAGAAGACATAGGTTATTGTCCAAGTCCAGATTGCCCTATGATTTATAGAGTTACTGAAGAAGGGACTATTTTTGAATGCCCTGCATGCAACAATGCTATCTGCACCACGTAATGAAGATTTTTTAATTTTGATTTCTTATTAAAATATCTTACACTAGTATTTTTTATTATTTGCTTATGAAATTTTACAACTTATTTTTATTGTCTGATTTGTCTTTAAATTTATAATGTATTCTGTATATTAAATGATTCTATATATAATGATTTCTATATTCAAAGCAATGTATAATCAGCAGCAGTATATGGAAATAGTGATTTTCAAGAAGGTAACCAGTTGGTCGTTGCAGGCGGCTAGTGTAAACATGTGTGATACAATGCAAAAATCTCTTCAATGTAAACGTTCCAAAATTTTTAATCTTTAAATAATATTTTTTTATTAAGTAAAAATTGATAAATTACGGCATTTTTGTAGTTGGCTAAGTTGATCTGAAGTATTATTCTTTATGATGTTTCAATTTTTTTTTATCTTAGCTGCATTTGTTTTAATTTTTATCAACATACTACAATCAACTTAATTTAACCACAAACTGTAATCCTAAAACAATAGAATGATAGATGATCACTAAAATTATTTAAGCAATTTTATTAGCTGAGGTAATTGAGTAAAATAAAAAATTTTTGTCATCAAAAAATTATAGTTCTAAAAGGGATGCCAGAAAAATTAAGCAAAATTCTTATTTACTTTAATTTTTTCAGTGATTTAACATATCATTCCATGATTAAAATGTATTTTAATTGTTAAAATTTTAATGTGGCTATATCTAGTTGTTAGGGAATATTATTTTTGCCATCAACATAATTCAGACAACGATTTTAAAATTTTTAATGCTTTACTCGTTGCTGCTCCTGTCAGCAATTGAAGTCTTAGTGAGATTTTTAATCTGATACCTTATAACAAAATAGATAATTCCCTCAAATATATTATTATATTCATTGACTGATTTGTAAAAGCAGTAATTAAAGATAAAATTGTTAATTTCTTGGCTAATATGCCGTTTTTACCATATTTTTTTTAATTTAATAATTTTGTGAATTTTTATTCTTGATATCTATGTTTTGAGTGCAAATACTTTTATCATTTTTATTTGGTAATATAGTCTGTAGAATAATTACACTCTAAGACAATTTTATTTTTTACTAAGTGAGTTGAAAAATATCAATCATTATAAACTATTATTTATGAAAACAGTGATATTGTGACAATGCCTTTCTCTTTTTTTTTATATCTTTTTATTTTCCACTTCAACAAAAGGAGAGTGAGTTTAGTTAATGAAATAAAAATTTCAAGACATAAATAAATTCTTATACTTCAACATGTTTCAAGAAAAATTTAAAAAAAAAAAAAAATGGAAGGACCCAAAAATAAATCAGCTTTCAAACAAATTAGAATTAGGAGAGAAAAAAACACCGAGTTTTAAGTTTAAAAATAAGAATAGTTCTATCAACAGATCAAATTTCAATATAGTAGCTTCATTTGTCTGAGCTTTTATGCCGCTTAGACGATATATCATTTTGTTGAAGTTCAACAAATTCATAATTCTCAAACTAAATTAATTAATTCTCATACGAATGAATTAATTATTCATATGAGTATTAATTAATTGTCATACGAATTCATAAATTAATTCTCAAACAAATTAATTTATTCCTTCCTACTACACTTATTCAAAACACTATCATGATTTTGGGTCGAAACACCATCATGATTCAAATTTTTAAGTCTCTGTGCTTACACACATAAAACAGTTTTAATAGAAACACACTTTTTTAATAGAGAGAGATAGTTGTTATCATTGTATTGACATTATAGTATTGGTTTCATTTGTGAATTTGTCATTATTATGTAACAAATAGTTGGAGTGTAATCACTTATACCATTTATAAAAATTAAAAATTTGGTGATTTTAACCAAACATGAGCAATACAACAGGATGCATTGTTTTATATTGATAACTGTAATATCTTTTCATGTTGTATGTGCTTGAATTTATAAAAATAATAATTGACAAATAAAAAATATTAATTTATTTTCAGTTGTGGAGTTATATACCATTATGGCATGAGTTGCAGCTTATATCAATGTAGCAAAGGAGATGTTGATTATCCATTAAAAGTAAGAAGTGTCATATTTTTTATTTATTGTTTATAATGTGGTTTATTATTTTTTTATTTAAATTTGATTCTAGCTTGCCACTAAACAAAATATTAATATCTAATAATTTGGGTAGTCAATTTTTTTTAGCCTATGTCAATCACACCCAGACATTCAAATGCATTTCGTGGAAGCATGTCATTTTATTGTTGTATGTCATTGTTGTATTTGTTTTGTCTTACGTTATTTTTTTCCAACTTTTGTTTTAAATTTCTATAAAGGTGGATAGAATATAATTAAATGAGCAAAAAAATATGTGTAGTTTGGGGAAGATAACATTAAAATTTTGCTTTTGCATTCAAATCACCTAAATTGACACTATAGGACTTTTTTTTTATAGAAATATAATAAACACGTCCCATTATGTAGGTTATTTATAGTATTTTTCTGGTACTAGAGCCAATATTTGACTGAAACATTGAACAGTTTGTTGATTTATTTGTAAAGGATTATTTTTAAACTTTAATTTTGCAATTTCACCTGAATGACTTTATTTTTTGTATATATATATATATATATTTTGGAATATTTTAAATACAAGATATTCTGCATTGGTCATCCACACTAATTACAAATCCACGCTCATTGCAAAGCTAATATTAGTAAACTCTTGACAAGATTTTGACTGTAAAATTGAGCATGTCATGAAATTTTTTAAAAAGATTAGAAGCTACTTTAATCTTTGATGTTCACAATTACAAAATTTAATGTTTATTTTTGCCGATTAAATATATCAATAATATATATTTTACATAAAAAATATAGTAATTGCACAATTGATTATTGAACTATTTGGCATATTATACATTATGGTTCATAACAAATTCTACTGATTTAACAAATGAATATTTGCAATTAAGAGATGACTAAAAATACTTGAATTGCATAATTTTAAAATAATATTAATAGTATTACAAGTTTGCATGAAATAAGTTAATATTTATTGCAGTTTTTCTAGAAAAATTTGAGTGCAAAGTTAAGAATTTGAAATTAAAATAGTCTTAAATAAATAAAAAAAATCATAATGTTAATTGCTGTATTTATGTTAATTACTGTTATAATGTTAATTACTGTGTAACCCGTTTCTATTTCAAATGCAAAGTATAACTTTCCCCCCTTTTTTTTTTTCTTTTTAAAATTTCATCAGAATGAAAGTTATTTACAAGGAATATGCCCTTAATATCATTCACCAATTGAAGTAAATTTATTTAAACTAAGAGACTTCGAAGTTTTGAAGAAAGTGACTATGAGTATAAAATGTGATTATGACTATAAAGTATTTTGAAAGAAAAAATCATCAAATTTTGCCTAACCGTCCATTAGAACACATTTTGTAAATTTATGTTTTGGGAACTTGAAACAACTCTAAATAATCAATCTTAATGATTTTCTATTAATAAAAATAAATTTTTTTGTCAAAATACAGAAAGATCAGTAATTTTTAGTTGTAGAAAATTAAGAATAACACTCTGAATTATGTATGATAATTTCTTAGTAGTAGAATGAAACTTTATTTTTATATAGAAATTTCCGTTTCTATATTAAACCATTTGAATTGATAGCAATGTTGTGTGCTTATTACAGGTTTGGATGGAAAATGATTCTGATAACAGAAAAGAGTGCCCTTTTTGCTCTTCACCAATTGAAAAGAATGGTGGTTGCTCTCATATGATTTGTTGGAGTTGCAAGTCTCACTTATGCTGGGATTGTCTACAAATTTTTCTTACTAGCGATCTTGTTTATAATCACCAACCAAGTTGCCCAAAACGTTCCCTAACTGCAAGTTTGATTTGATAAAACTAAGAAACAACTTTGGTTGATTTACTTCATAAGTTGTTGACTTAATTCATAATTTTAAGTATAGTATCAATTTTAATTATTTTTAAGAAAATTTGAAACAAAATTTTTTTTAGCTTTTCAATTTAAATACTGCACCATTGATTTATCATTTTTAAAAGCAAAGTTATTTTCTTTGAAATTTTATTAATGGACAAAAATGCATCTTTTTATTCTATCTGAGAAATTAATTATAGATAAAAGATATTTCAGATATCCATTTTGTTGGTGCTTGGCTTGAGGCAAATTTGTATCTAAACTTATGAAAAAATAGTTTCTTAGTGATGAGAAGAAATTTTCTGAAGGAATTTAAGTTAGTCACAAAATGTTATTTGACTAACAGTCCTGCTTAAACTGCAGGAGAAAAACGATTATCAATGCATTACTATTGTTGACATAAAACTTATTTAAAATCTTTATCATACAACATATTTTTTTTAATGTAGATATTAATGTATAATTTTTTTCTATTTTGAATTGATATTGGTTATATTTTCACTTTATAAAAAACATTTTATAAGGTTTACTTATTTATTAGTTTAAAATTCGTTACTAAGACAAATTTGAAATAAAAAAGTGATTATTTTATTTTTATTATCCTATCTAAAAATCATCCTTATCCTATAATTTTAGGTTCTTCACGTACCTTATTTGTAAGTTTTTGATATTTTTAGATTTTCATTTTGCTGAAGGTACAAAATGATGTAACAAAAGTTATAACAAAAAAGTTTAAAAGTTATAACTTTTAATTATAACAAAAAAAAATTTAGAAATTTTCCCAAAATAAAAAAATGCACTTTTATCTTAACTTAAAAACTAGTTGTAGATTAAAAATTACTGCAGGTGCCTTTTTTTAGAGCTTTTGATTTTTAATAAATTCAGTATTGCTGAATGAACAAGAAGTTGGTATTTTGTATTGGAAAAGAAACTTAAGTTTGTCATTGTAGTATGTTGTTTGACATACATTGCTTCATGTTTTTGATTAATATTGTTAAAAACAAGAAGTTTTGTATTGATTTTTTGAAGTTACATAGGAAATCCTTATTTTGGGTGAATATAATTGATATATTTTCCTTTGGTTTCTATGTATCATATTTTCGTACTTTCTCAAAGTTAAGATGTAAGAAGCTGAAGATTTCGGAAATCCTCTGTTTCGCGGTATTTTTAAATCTGTCAGCTTCTCTCTTAGAGCCTTGAAAGCTCAGTGGGTTTAGGCACTAAACTGTCATTGTGAAGCTACCCAGCTTCAGATTGATGGGTACCAGAGCTTGTCCTGAAGTAAAGATGGCCTGTGCCTAGTGCTGATTACATTGCCTCAACCATGGTCACAAAATTTTGAAGCCTTAACCTCACAAATGTCATTGTATCATTTTTCTAGCCTTCAACAGGCTGTTGAAAGAATGCTTTGCTTAGCTGCTCTCATAAACTTTCAGTTCAAAGAACAAAATGTATGGTCAATAAAAATGTTAAGATCAGTTTTCAATTTCCATAGATCTAGCACTTTATAGGATTTTTCAATCTGCTACTTTGTTTCAAGAAGTTGCTTTTTTTCCTTTCTTCAAAGTGTTTTTCAGATCAGAATTAATTTCTACCTAAACTGAAATATTTATGCATATATAATTTGTAATGCACGCCAATTTATTCAAAGGTTAAATGTATCAAAGTCTTTGAAAAAAAGTTGTAAGATCAAGAAGTATGCTAAACATAGTATTGAATTAAGAAGGAAAATTATAAAAACAAAATTTTATGCTAGTGAAGTAAATTTAATTCCATTTAGTTTAACAGTCAAACAAATTAACAAATCAATAGCCAAAAAATAAAAATTAATCACTAAGAAAGAGCATTTTGCATTGAACAATTACAACATAGTAGAACTGATAAGGTGATTTATTGCTATTGTTCAGCTAAAGTGATATGGCCTTATCAATTCCTGAGGTCTACAGCATAACTCAAAACGACCCTACATACCCTGATACACACTGTTTCATTGGCTAAAAGAGTCAACTTAAATGCCACCTAAGTTGATATATTGTGTTATATATTTCATTTCATATTTTTATATAATTTCTTATGAGGTACACTGGTGTGAGCTGTTGTAATAACCAAAGTTACAATACTATTGGAACAAATTGTTTTCATTGTTATAAGTGTTCCTTGTTGAGTTATATCATTCCAACATATGTTAAACTGAACTGGCATCTGAATGAAAGATGTTACAGTATCCTGACTTTTTTGTTTTTAAATTTTATGTTTTGTGGTTCATTCATTCATGCAAAATAGCTTTCAAATTGAAACCCACCAAATGCTTGTAATAGTACTTTAGAGCAGGCAAAATAAAGTTAACCTTAGTGATTTAACTAATATCACAGTTTTGATATTGAAAAATATTTCAATGCCTTTTATCAGCCAAAACAGAATTTTAAATACATGTACGGATGTTATTACCCTTATAATCACTTTTTAACTTTGATATATTAAGATTTTATGTCATATAAGAAAGTTGAGTTAATTATAAATTATTACTTTAAATTTTCTTTCATATGATTTTAGGACATACGTTTTGTGTGTATATATATATATATTTTTTTTTTTTGTAATGTTATGACAAATTGTGCATTCAATTACTCACTTGGTTTATTAATATTTTAATTAAGTATAATAATAATAATAAAAGTAATAAATTGTAATAATAAAATGCATTAATAAATTATAATAGCGATTTTTAATAATGTCGTTAGATGTTTCATAATTCTATGATTGAGTTAGCCGTAAATTCTGGAAAAGTTTCTTTTGGATTAACCATATAAATAACATTTGGAATATGTCTTTAATAATGACTTTTGCAAAAAATTTTCTGAGAAGGCTATAGAATTTTAACTTCTACTAAATATTTTATGTTTTAAAGTATTCATTAAAAACCTTTATTAATATTTTTTTTTTGTAGAGTTGATTGTCAATATTGATTTTATAAATATTTATTGTTACAAATATTTTCGCAAACAATATTTTCTTTTTTATGATTACAATATTTATTTCTTAGTAGGGGTTTTGTTGTTCTTGGTTTTGAGATTATGTATTCATTTTTAATGTCAATATTTGTTTAATTATTTTTATTTTATATGTTTTTTTGACTAAGTAATATTTTATTTCTTTATGATTTATTGACACTCTCCTGTGATTTAGGTGTTAAAATTTCATTACATAAAGTATAAAATGTAAAAAAATATTCGTAAATATTGTTTTAGTTAGTTTTGTAAGGAATTAGTAACTCTTTAAACATTAGTTGACATTTAATTTAGCTATTATTATTCATATTACTGATTTTTTAATTTTTTATTTACTTTACAATAATTAGTGTGTGAATTTGAATTAAATATTTGAAAATACAATAATTATTTATTCTTAACTTAAATTTTTATACTTAATATTTAATTTTATTGTTTAATGATATTTTTTATGTTATATTTTTATTTTGTGTTCAGTGGTTGTACTGTAAATTCCTGAAGTAAACTGTGCTTTACTATATTGTGTTGATTTAAGTAAACATTACTTCATTAATTGTGTTTAAAAAAAATCAGTATTATTTCCCCTTGGGCTTGTGTTACTTTTTTGTTGTAATAATTTTGAATTTTCGGACTTCTTTCAAGTATGCAGATTTATACATCTGTTTCACTAATTTGTCTTTCAAATTTCTTTTTACATTGTTAGATTTTAATGATAAACTGCTCTAACTTCTAAACGGTAATTTTCTTTTCTTTTGTTTAAGATATTTTTTAATAATTTTTATAATAAATCTTATTAATTATTTTTTTATTGTTATAAATCTATTCCGATTGACAGTTTGGTGTATTAACTAAAAAGAAAATACATTATTAGTTGCAATAAAGCCGGTTATTCATAAAATATGTTCCCGTTTCAATGATATATTTTAAGTTTAAAGAGCATATCAACAAATTATACATCAAATTTAAGATAAATTAACCCAGTTATTTTAAAAATGTTCAATGTGTACATTCTAAGTTATATTGCACACATCCATTTTTAAATTCATTCTTCATGACATTTTATTTATTCCAAAATATTTTAAAAATACCACTATGAAAATAATATTTTCTTTTTACTTGGCAATTCATTTTTGATATTTGTATTAATATATTTGCTTTAAATAATAATAATTGCTAAATTTTTACTTTTGGTTAAATGAATAACATTTGTTGTAGAGTTTGTAGTTATATGTATTAATCAGCTTGTAATTATACATATGACAATTAATGTGTAATTATACATATTATATCAGCTATATTGAAGCTATACAGTTTTCTACCTGAATTATTTTTTCAATACACAGTCTTTTTTTAATGACTGCTTTTTTAAAATTATTTTGTCAATGTTTAAAACTTTCAAATCAATGTTTTTTTTTGTGCTATTGATAGTTTTTTTTTATAGCTGCCAACTAAAATTTTTGATAAAATCCCTTATCACTATACAGATTTAATTTTATAAATATGCCGGTTTTTAGATTTTTTTAAAAGAAAATCTTTATGAATTTAAAATCTACTAATTAATTTTTTTTTTACTTTGGAACGTCCAGAGAAAAATGTTTTATAATGCTTTAATTAAAAAAAAAAAAAAAAAGGTTTATTGCCCTCTGACGGTAAATTGGCTCTTTTTCTGAATTATAAAATGTAGATTAAACTTAAATTGAAATACCTTAACTTTTATTACAACTATGTATATTTTATACAGATGTATGATTTTATACAGATATAATATGAATGTTACGAATTTTATTAAAAAAATTATTAAAGTCAAATTAATTATCTATAAAAATGGTTTATATTTTTAATTTATAATAAAAGATAAAAGCTATAGATAAAAGTCATAAATTTATTTAGATTAATGTAAGCAAGATTAATGTTGAAGAAGATTTACTTACACCAGCCTTAAAATTCAACTATATATTTACTAAGAAAATAAAAAAAAAACTATTATAAATATTTTCATTTTCTGATATTTTTGTATAAAATATTGAATTTGTTCATTCAGTTTTAAATATTATGTCCAAAAGCTAAATTAAATAATAATAGAAAGTTAAAAAAAAATCAGATGGAATGATTATACTATTAATGCTATTTAGAATTTGATATCCTTTTTTCTAAGATTTCGAAAAATGTTGAAAATTATGATACTGTAGTTTTCTCTTACTCTTTCTTTCTTTATCTTTGTTTTGCTATTATTTTGATTTGTCTGGAATATTTAAGAGTTAAACAGCAGATTGTTTTCTTTCTTGCAATATTTCAGATTTTTAGCGATATAGGAGATCTTCTAACATTTCTTTGCTCCTAAGTCATAAATAGTCAAGTTTTTTCTGTTCAAAAAGTTCTGGATTTTTCATTTATTAGATTTTTAAACTGTTCGTTTTAAAGGAATTCCGTTTCTCAAATTGCTCACTAAAAATCAGAAAAGATAATTTTGGGACTATTTTTTTTAAAACCCTTATTAGCTGATTATAATGGGTTTTTCATTTCAAAGTAATTCTGATAAGAATTATTTAGTTCACCCAGTCTGAAAAATTAATAACAAAAACTACATTTGAAATAAAAAAAAATAATTTATTAATAAAAAGTAAATATAAAAAAAGTAAGTAAAATGTGATATTTTTTTTCAAGACGTGCAAAAACATGATATTTTGAATTTAATTAAATAACTTTTCATGCTCTTTGATATTTACACATCAAAATGTTTTTTAAGTGACAAACTTAACACTCTCCTTATACAGTTTCCACAGGTGCCTTTGATGATAGATATTTCATTCATAAATGAATCTTCTGTTACATTTACTGAATTTATTTCTTTTGGTAGCTATGTTTCGTTATAATTTTTTTGTCACCATAAATACCTTTACATGATTTGTCCAAAAAGTAATGTCAATTGAGTTGATTAAAAAACATGCATTGATCTGATTGATACAATACAGCCATAAACCTTCCATGTTTAAAATGTATGTATGACGCCTTTAAATCTCGCTTTTAGCAAAATTTCCAGAAGGCTTCATCTAGGGAACTTGACTCTGTCACTTGTTGCTAAATAATGTTCTTTTATTGGAGTTAGTAAGTGTCAGAACAAGAAATCTTGGGGGAGCCACGTCAAAATCCTTATAGCTGAGTGACCAATGGCATCTTTGAATCAATCAGTCCTAAAGCAAAATGGCAGAATGCATTATGGCGGAGTTTAAAATCATTTGCTGTCTAATCGAAACTTTTTGTAATGCTTATTGTCTCTGCTATTTTACGAATACTCCAATGATAGCTTGAGTTGAAGAAAATTTATGTCCCAGAGGCAATCGAGGTCATTGATGACCTTTCAGAGCATGCCTCATTGCTGACTTTTTCAGAAAATGCCTGTAGACTTGACATTGTAATGGACTTTGGGTTTCACATAAATTTTATGGCGATTCATCTTGTACTGCATGGCTGCTTGCACATAAAACAAAACTTAGTTTTATGGAGATGCTTTTCTTTAGTCCCTTTATGGACAGAAAGGGCTAAATGACCACACATTTATAAGCTGTCACTTTTACCGATTACAACTGGCCTGATGCTAAGCGAGCTTTTAAACTTATCCAACTAAATTAGGGACAATACTTTTTGGACTCATTACTTTATTATGAAAATATTTTGAAGTTTTTCGTGGTAAGTGGTAAATTTTTTTCATTGATGATAATTTGGTGAATTAATTTTAGTATATTATATAGTTCAAGCAATTGTGTGATTCTCGTGCCTTTGTTTGCCAATGTGCTTTAAATATTTTGCTGGGCTTAACTTTATCTATGACATATTAATATATTTTAAACATTCGCTGAATTTTACTGTGATTTGCTAATGTTCCTACATTTGTGATTAAATTTTTAAATGTATTTCTATGAATAAACTATGGTGAAATTTTACTGAATTTTGCTGTTTTTGTTTTAATTCATTCTTTAATATCTCACTAATACTTCGAAAAATGGAACAGTTTTTAAACAAAATATATAAGTTTAAGTATCATTAAAAAGATTTAATATTTTATTAGTTAAGAAATATTAAATGCCTATTTATTTTTCTGTTATTCATTAGTACATTGTAAAATATTGGTAATGAATGGTTAAGAAAAAGATTTCAAATTAATTGTCAAAATTCTGTTAGTTATCGTTGTACTTATTTATTTTTGCTGAAAGATGACTAATACATAAAAATATGAATTTTATAATTTTGAATTAAACATCCTCTTCGCCAGAAAGTTAGATTGCTTGTAAGTAATTTGGGTTAATGACTAAGGGAATTGGGTAAATCAAAGACTTCAATCTTCATTATCATTCACTTATTTTCAGAACAGACCATTAGGGTTGCAATGCTATTTACTGTACGTTTTTTCTGATAAAAAACTAATATAGGTAATTAGCCACTCATCGTTTTTGGGTAATGATGATTTATTATTTATATAACATTATTTCAAGCCAATATTAGACAGTAGTAACTATTTGTTCAAATAAAATAAAATTATGTAAAAAAAATTGTTTGAGGATTTTTACATTAAGAGAAACAATAAGTTTCCGATATGTTAAAAATTATGAAATGAAAAATATCGTTTCTGAATATCTTTAGAATCGATCACAAGTCATCTTTAGAATTGTACAACGCTGAAAAAAAAATAAGCATTAAATATTCAAATAAAATTAGAAAACAAACTTATTAAGTTGTAAACATCTTTTAAACTGTAGAAATAAGACATTCAACTCGCAGAAAGACTGTACAACTATTTAAATACTAAGTTTACTGAAACGAAGATGAAACTATAAATACTAAACTTAAGCTATAGTTCACTCCACAGCAGAGCAGAATTAACTATAAAACAATGAAACACCCACCTCCAAGCTGTGACACATTTTTCTTCAGCAAGTGACACAGTACAGGGGAAAATACTGTCCATCTATTTGTTTACACTTGGGACTAAAAAATATTTTCCAACAATTATTTCGCAATTACAATTTTTCAACAATAAATTAATATGCAAATTAAAAACTAATGTGTCTGAAAGGAGACCAACTGAAATATATGAGATTCCCCACTTAATAAAAGAAATTTCACGAAAACAGTTTTTTTACTTAGCACCTAAATTATATAATAAATTACCACTCCAGTTGCAAAATATCCAAATATATTCTTCTTTTAAGCGTGCTTTATTTCAATTTATGATGAACATTGACGATTTAGATCTCTATTTTTCACTTTAAAGGAAGCATTTGATTTTTTATACCAGTCTTGTGCCAATCCAAATGAATTTCTTACGTTACCTTTGATATTTTTTAAAAATATATTCATGTATTTTGTAACTCTATTATTAAAGTATTCAACAATATATGATGTGTTAAGATGAGCAAAATAATTCATGATTGTAATATCCCCCTCCCCTTTTTTTTTTAAAATTTCTAAATTAAATTTATTGTATTACTTTTCTTTGTCGTCTGGACCGGATTTTCCTCTTGACGACGAATATATATTCTTTGCATTAATGTGTTTGTTTTTGTTTCCAATAAAGTTATATTAGTTTGTAGAAATTAAAAAAACATTTAAAAATTACGGATACTATTGGGGCCAAAGCATTCAAACTCCTAATGACAGAACAACAAATTGTTGCCTGCCCATATCATTCGGGTCAAATTTTCCAGACTGGCTTGATGTTAGACCGTGAAAAGCTTAGCGCATATGGCGCTAAGGGTTAAAATTCGTCGTCTTTTCAATATAACACTTTCTTTCAACGAAACAAACAACTAATGAACTTGGTAGACTTCGCAAGCTTGCTACGATGCACGATGCTACCCAAAAAATAACAAACGGTGCTATTTCACACAAATATAGCTAAAAGAGATAACATATGTTATCTCTTCGAAACATGGCTAACCATACTCTTTATTTATAAATTGCAGAAAACTCTTATGAATGGTAAAATTAAGCGTAAATTTAAACACAATAATAAAACTTTCTAGAATATGAAGCTTGTTCACTCCTCCCCTCGTAAGCATAACATAAGTGGAGGAATTAACTGGAAATTTTTAGGAAGCTTGTTATTGTTTACATTCAGTCAACCATCCGTACTTTGAAGGTCAAAAATCCAAATTTGTCGACGAAAAAAAACAATTTCTCGGATAAGTTCATTTTTATGCCTTATCTCAAAATTTAAAATATTGTCTTCGTTAATGAATTAGTATATTCAAGCTTAAATCTTCAAACCATTAAGATTAAGTCGCAATCTGTGAAACTGATAGATCAAAAGTTATCCAACTTGTTCGCTGTTTTTTTTTCTGTTTTACACTTCATTATTTCTGAGAATATGATAATGTTATGTTCACAATATTTTCTTAAATGTATGTTTCTTTTCTGGTGGTGGTAAATACCGTGCCAATCCTGATCGCGGCTAAGAAAGATGAGTTAATTTACAGAGAAGAATGTTCAACTATGTTAAGTTATGATTCGAAGCTACAGCTGTGTTTGGTTCTTTATGAGTGTGTCTTCTGAGCCAAAAAGTGTTAGCGCTATTAAGGATTGTGGCCCCGAAGGATGCAATGCTGAGATAAAAGAAAGTCTGGTGTCCTCCAACGAGATCAAAACAAATGCCCGCTAAGGTACATCCAAGACCCGCTCCTGAAAAGAAAATTTTTTATACAGAGAAGTGGTTTTGCTAAAAGCCAACTACAACTAATAATATATATTTTTTATTATTAATCTATTTTTATGAATTATAAATAGTATCCATTTAGGTTTGTGATGAAAATTTAAAACAAAATATTTCTGAATTTTCTAACTGTAAGGAATTGGCAGTATTTTACTTAAGAAACCATTTTCTCATCGACTTTCAAAATTAGTTTTAAAGTTCGTCAACAGATGGCTCTTCTAATTATTAAAAACTATAATACCCAGGCTGCACTACGCAGTGCAGCCTGCTGGGGATAAAATTCATAAACGCTGAGCTTTTTTCAGTTCACATAGCCTGACCAGAGAAATCAAAGTTGTATGATTTTTAAAATTAGCAGTACCGTCTTTTGTCTAACTTGGTGACAGATTTTGAAACTTAGCGAAATTACAATGTTGGTTTATTATACAGAATGCAGTAAGTCGTGCAATGTTGTCCCCCCTTTTTCTTTCACTTTTTAAATCGATATTCCTCTTTTTGAAACACTTCCCGGAACATACTAAGTTTTTAATCTGGTGGTATAACGAAAATAATGTGATGAAATAAAATACATACATGAAATAAGTAATAAATTTAAGGTTAACATGGAAGGTTGTCCGTGTAAAGCTAAGCACTGATGACCCTATGAATGAGTTAATATTCGAAATATCCCCTGGTTACTACCGATTTATTTTTACGCCTAAGTTTGAAAAAGCGCGCCATCCAATATTATTAATATTCTCGTGTTTACAATAAAACGCGTTCTTTCATTTTGACTTCAGCTTCATCCGTTTGATGTTAGCAGAAAACGAATTTGGGCAACTCGACAAGCATGCTATGATGCTACTTAAAAAAGATCAAGCAGTAATATGTAGCCAAAATAGTACAAATATAGCCAAATAGGGAATAACTATCAGAACATGGCAAAAGTTACGCTTTATTTATCTTGTGATGCCAGTTTTTCGAAATTTATTTAAGACTCAGCACCTTTTAGAATTTTTAAACTACAGAAAACTTATGAAAGGTAAAATTACGTGTAAATTTTAACACAAATCAGAATGATGAAACTTCCTAGAATATTAAGCCTGTTCACACATTGCCTTGTAAATGCAGTAAATCCTTGTAAAAATAAGCGAAGGAATACTCCAGAAGTTTTCTATATTTTTTCCGGTTTTAGAAAACTTGTTATTGTTTACATTCAGTTTCCCATCCTTACGCTTCAATCTAATTCCTCTCCACCTAAACAACTTGTTTTAAATGTAAAAAAAATGAAAAGTAAATCTATCTAGAGTTGTTGAATTTTCTCTTTTAGGGAATGCTAAGGAATTGATATAAATTTGAAAAGATGACGAAAATTAAGTATTTTTGGAAAACAATGTGGCCATATAGTCCTCCTTCATCAAATTTCTTTTGTTCTCGGGGAGGAGGATTATTTTAGTCAAAAGACTCGATACAAATACTTATGTAAAGTAATATATACAGAATTTAATATTTTCCCATGATAGATCTTCACTTCTATAATCAGGTAATTGTTTCTAAAGATAAAACAATTACCTAGTTTCGAATTCTCCAAAGAGAGACATTTGCACTTTTAATAGTTTTCTGAAAAATAGACTAACAGTTTTGAAATTTCCGTAACCTCTTATCTAATTTTTAATGAAATTTACTCAAGGGAAAAAGTGTGTAATAGTATATAGTAAAGTGTATAATTATACGTGTGAAAAAATTTTTATTTTTGTAGTGAACGTAAAATTTTCGTCGAGAAAATAAAAGACTTAAATAATTTCAGTATTAAACTACATCTTTAGAGAGTTAACTAAAGTATTCATTAACTAAATTTCTCCCTAAAAACGTTGAAATGAGGTAGTTTATACCAATAGTGTTCGACTTTTAAAGACGACTGATAGGTTATTTAGATTACCAGTTTCGTTAAATATTTACGATACTACGATTGCTAAAAGGTAATAATTCAAAAAGAGCGTTTTCTCTTTTAAAAAATTTAATTTTGTGTAGTTGGGATCGTTAATACTAAGAAAGGAATGCTTAAAATGCGCATTTGTTTATCAAAAATGATGAAATGATCTTAAAAAGAGAGAGAGATTTATGAGAAAATATCTTTATTCCCGACGTATAAAACGTGAAAAAAGTTAGAGCAAAGGGTATGTACGTTGCAAAAACAAGTTTTTTTTTATCTCTCGAAGATTAAAACTTTGTAGAAAATCTTTAACAAGTAAATGCGCATTTTAAGTATTCTTTTTTTTAGCAAGGTATATATAAGTTCTAAATCGCTGATGCTGTAAAACAATGCAATTCACTTTTACCAGTAATCTCGCACCATTTTCGAGGTAGTAACAGTATTTCGCCGTTACCAGATAGTGCTGAAAATGGTCTCATCTTATAGCGCACAGTCACTTCTTTACCAGGCATAGGAGTTATTTTAATAATTACAGCTGCAGCCGCTTCTAAGTTAAAGCTGGTGGATATGAACTTTAATGGGCACTGCTTACATTTAGCACATTTCATTCAATATATTACTTTTCCCTTAGAAAACAAGTATAAAAATAGAAATAAGTTTGTATTTTTAAAGTCAGTACTTACCTGTATTTTTAAAGTCAGTACTTACCTAAGCCATCATGTGTAGCAAAAAGAATTGATAGAGTTGTTGCTTCTGTCCCAGGTTTAGCACTCAGTTTTCCATAAGATGTTACTGCCGGGAAAAACGTCCCGTAGTTGAAGCCATGTAAGATCTCGATTGGAAGAACAAGCCATGGATTTTGAAGATAACTGTACCACATGAATCGTACAGCGTATGATAATAGTGAAATTGAAATAAGATTAAAATGTCCTAATTTTTGTAAAATCCAGCCAGATACAAACATTAAAGGAATTTCACCAATAAAGCATTCCACATACAAAGCTAAACCGCACAGTAATTTGCTTGCTTGTAGACTCGCTAGAAACCATATCAAGTAAAACCACACTACACCAGCACCTATTCCATTGAAGAAAACACCTAATTCAAAAGCGAGAAATTCTATGGAATTTAGAATTCTGCCAATATCTTTCAAAATGTTTAGTGAGAAATGAGGTTTTATAAGATCTAATTTCGAAACATTCCATATGGTGGTTATTTGTAGGACGACCATAAGAATCCAAGTAGCAAGATAGCCGTTTGTTAAGTCACATATTAGCCCACCAATTGTTGCCAACAAACCCCATCCAATTCCTCCGAACAATCTTTGTCTTCCGAAATCTCGACCCAATTTTTCTGCGCTTTCATAGCATGCCATGTCACCAAGTGTGAAAATGGAACTTAAACATATCATAGCCACCGAAGTTGTTGCAGCGAACATCCAGAATTGAAGTGTTTCGAAATCACTGACACTTATTTTGACAGGAATCTCAGGAGAGTTATGATCCTTTTTCGAGAGAACAATTATACACGGGAATCTATTATAAGCATCTAAATCATGGAAGGAAGGTTTTACAGATGATAAACGATAATAGTACTTCCGGTTATAAGATTCATTATCATCAGTAGTAAAGTTCTTTGTAGAAAGGACTGAGCAAGTACTATTTAATACTGTTTCAACAAGTTTATTCAATTCTTTGTTTGTTGTATCTTTTTCAAAACAGAAAATTTCACTGTCTTTGGTGAACTTTAAGCATACTATGTCCAAGCAACTACTATTTCGAATGTTGAATAACGCACTTTCTAACATTGAAGAAACAGTTCCAATTGCGTTGTCTTTATCATTCGGGCAATGCTTAATTGCTAGGATTTTTAAATCATATTGTTCATCCCAATTTTTAATTAGATTAGTCGACGATAGTTCTGACGAAGGCTTTTTCATAGGAGGAATTAGAAGAACGAGAAAAATAGAAATAGTGTGTATCGTTAGAAGTGTAATAATCATTAATTTTAACCTGTTGAAATAATCAGCAAGGTAACCAATGATTGGCTTCGATACAACGGTTATTAGTTGTTGAGCAGTCAAAATAGCAGCGACGGAAGTGGCAGAAAGGCCAAATTTATTTCTTGCTATAACTGGGAGGAATGGATTTACACAGCCCAGGGCTAGAAATAATCAATTAAAATATGAATTAAAACTGATTTAATTAATAAATTTTTAAGTTTCTCATTACAGTTCTAAGCCAAAGTTGAACAAAATTCTAAAATTATTTGTTTACTGTAAGAACCCCGATTAAATGTAACATTAGTCCTGTATATAGTAAGGGAAAAACTAGATAAACTTATTACACATTTTAAAATACTCTTAATTTAAAAAATTGATTTAAAAATCTCATTAATTTCATAACAATAATTTGCAAATATGAATTTAACCTTGTTCTTAATTGTACTAGGTTTCTAAATTGCTTGGAAATGATCAGATCTATTTACAGAGATGTGAATGTGGCACTATATATGGTACTAATATAGTTTAAGCTAATATTCGTATAATTTTTTCAATGACCCGACCTTTTCGATAGTGATATAATTAGTACTACTTATCATACTTGAATATTTTTGCAAAATTTTTTATTAATTTTATACCGGGCAAATGTATACCTGGCAGTGGCACTTAACTAGTCCTAGTATGACTAGAGCTTTGGTAAATGTCCGAAATATATACTAGGTCTAGTTAAGTGCCACTACCCGGTATACCCTACACAGATGTTTTTTAAGGTCAAGTGCCCTTGCCAGGTACACATTTGCCCGGTATACCCCACACTGATATTTTTTTAAGGTCAATAAGTGCCATTGCCCGGTATATATTTGCCCGGTATATCCTACACTGATATTTTTTAAGGTCAAGTATCATTGCCCGGTATATATTTGCCTGANAAAATTCTAAGCCAAAGTTTAACAAAATTCTAAAATTACTTGTTTACTGCAAGAACCCCGGTTAAATGTAACATTAGTCCTGTATACAGTAAGGGAAAAACTACATAAACTTATTACATATTTTAAAATACCCTTAATTTTAAAAATTGATTTAAAAATTTCATTAATTTCATAACAATAATTTGCAAATATGAATTTAACCTTGTTCTTAATTGTACCTGGTTTCTAAATTGCTTGGGAATGATCAGATCTATTTACAGAGATGTGAATGTGGTACTATATATGGTACTAATATAGTTTAAGCTAATATTTGTATAATTTTTTTCAATGATTCGACCTTTTCGATAGTGATATAATTAGTACTGCTTATCATACTTGAATATTTTTCCAAAACATTTTATTAATTTTATACCGGGCAAATGTATACCTGTCAGTGGCACTTAACTAGTCCTAGTATGTCTAGACCTTTGGTAAATGTCCGAAATATATACTAAGTCTAGTTAAGTGCAACTATCCGGTATACATTTGCCCGGTATACCCTACACTGATGTTTTTTAAGACCAACTGCCCTTGCCCGGTACACATTTGCCCGGTATACCCCACACTGATATTTTTTAAGGTCAATAAGTGCCATTGCCCGGTATATATTTGCCCGGTATATCCTACACTGATGTTTTTTTAAGGTCAAGTGCCATTATATATTTGCCCGGTATACCCTACACTGGTTTTCTTAAGGTTCAGTGCCACTGCCCGGTGTACATTTTCCCGGTATACCCTACACTGATATTTTTCTAAGGTCAAGTGCCATTGCCAGGTATGTATTTGCCCGGTACTCCAAACACTGATGTTTCTTCTAATCTATCGTCAATAAGTATTGAAATATCGAATAAATGTAATTATATCCAAGAATAAATTAATAACAAATCGCATGTAATAAATATTTCGGACATTCACCAAAGCGACTCTGTGATTGTCAACATTCAAGGGTGAAAGTCAACAAACACCGATTTCGGTCATTCACAGTAACATGCACATCATTTACATAATAACCTCATTAGGACTTTGCCTAAATAACATCCGGCATTAAATGGAATGCCTAGGCAATGTGTGAAATATAAATCATTTCATACTTTACCGGCTAGTTTTAGGCTTTATATTTAATGCCTAGGCATTATAATGTCGGATTTCATAATTTGCCGGTAACATATATATTATTGATAGTTAATTTCCATATTTTTGGGGTTATTGGTTTTCTCTGTCTCATATTTTAAAACAAATTTTCCAAAAACAACTCATGACTATGCAAGTTTTGATTTCAGAAAAGTTTAGTTTAACTTTTGTGGTCTTAGTTTATAGAAAATTATGGGCTGAGAGCAGTCATACAATCGTAAAAGCTAAATAGGTGCATCTCCAACCTGCCTTTTTCAAATTTAATAAAGTTTGATTCAGAAATGTCTATGTCTGATAAACCAACTAAAGTTATCCGATGATTAAATGAACGGAAATTTAATTATATAAAATTGGGACTAAGTAAATTATTTAAGATGAAGTTGAGCCCATTTTAAGGCTGATCAAACAATGCGGCAGGTACGAATAGTTTTATTTATTTTATTTCCTTTTACTTTGTGTAGGTATTGGCATTCGAGAGGAACTTGCATCTGAATGCGTCATCATTTTTAAAAGTATTGATTTTTACTATCTTAACTCGCTTACTAATATCAAATTTGATTTTCTTGCTCTTAATTAAAGGAGGAAAGTGTGCTTACCTCCGACGAATAGAAAAAAATGGGCTTTAAACCTTATCATCACTTTATCTATATGAAAGAAAGAACATTTCAACGTTTCTTTTTCATTATCTTTTGTGATTTGGTCTGCAGTAGTGCATGATTCCATATTCTCGTACCTAAAACAAAAATGCTACTCTTGTAATTTATAAGGGTCTATCATTCTTGCTCGCTATCATTCGTCAGCTCGAAAAATAGCGTTCGCATTTTTCCAACACCACACAAGACCGAGCTTACCTTATTTGCCAGATACTAAAACAAATTAGATTAATGTTTTTGTAGGATGTCACAATATTTTTTTCCTTTTTAATTAAGGGTAAAACTAATAATTTTTAGCTGTTTTATTACATGCGCACTTAGTTGTCGATGAATTTTTTATTTTTAAAATTATAGCATCATTGTTTAGCTTTTTTAAATTAAAAAAAATGTCAAATTTTAAATTTTTGACACTTTTTTATTTTTGGCAGATATTTTAAAATTTTCTTTTGTTTAAATACAAAACAACAATTAACATTGAACAATGAACATTACTAAACATATCTGCATTAATTTGCCTATATATCAATAAGAAAATTTTCTGCTATTACTTATCTGCAAAATCAAAGAAAATATTTTAAAAAAAATTCAAAAAAATATATTAATTGCTCAAGAAAACATTCAGTAAAAATTTTAACAACTTAAAATCTTACTTAATGCACGATTTTATTAAATATATCTTGTTGCTTGTAAGAATGTTTACTTTAATGTCCCATTTTAAATAGATAATAATTCTTAATAGCATATAAACAAAACAAAAAATCACTCCTGAAAAATCACTGAAAAGTTAAAATCATAGGAAAGGCCATTGCTTTTTTTTCTTCCGAAAATCAATTATAATATTTTAAAAAATACAAATAGCGAGATTCTTTTTTCATTGTGTTTGAAGTTCTAAGATATTATTAATATAAATTCGCAACATTTTTGTAATTTTTTTGAGCAATATTAATCCGTAATATTCTCTCACCTAAACCAAAACTTCTGGTATTTTGAAATGATTGTCAATAACTAAATAAATAACAATGATAATTAGACCTTGACGATTGGCACTTACTACTTATACCCTCGCACTTTCTTCGATACGTGTAGAATTTGCAGAAAATTTTACTGTTCAAATTCGTGTGGGCAATAATTTTCCTTTATTTATTTATTAAAAGTAAAACATCCCCATATAAACGTTTCAAACTGATTATTGCAAGTAATAAAAAATGAGTTGCATTAATTATTATTTTTAAGTATGCATAGTTCAATAATTTGTATTTCATTAATTGTTGTTTAAATAACAGAAAAGTATTGCGATATTGATTACATCATCTAAGTATGAAATACTTTTTTTAAGTATTGTCACTTCTATTCACAGGCGATGGAAAGAAAAAAAACGAAAACTAAAATATTCCTTCATCTCATGACCTGATCTTTTAACTTCATTCATTGGCTTATTGCTGTTTTCAACTGAAGAATTATTAGATTTTTCGTTTTTTAACTCAACTTTTAATGCAATTCAATCCTTTTCTCAGGCCTACGTTAGATTATAATGTAGGTTATGATTTAAATAGTTAAAGTACTACTACACAAACTTTTTTTTTAACTTTATACTTGCATTACGTATGAGATTCATTTCTTTTTTCAATAAAATTAATTATTATAATAAAACACTTTTCAAAATTTCAAAAAAATAGTATTTTACTCTTTAAATAACTATATCATCGTAATTCATATCTAGAATCCAGAAAACATTTCTCTAACATATTAAATTAATAATAAAAAAAATTATTTTTGTTACAAATCACATTTTTTATACATTTTTAAAATATAATTTCAGATGTTTACATTTTTATAAAATTTACTACTTTACATTAAAGCTAAAGACATAATTATATATAGATAATATATATATATAGTATATATATATTATACATAAATAAATACAAGAAAACACGAAGAAAGTTAAGAAAAACAATAAGTTTCATTTAATGTGCCTNATATATATATATATATATTATACATTTAGTATATAGAGTACATATATATACACACACTCTGAATATTTTTTTAAATGAATGGAATTACCTGAGTAGCCTCGAAAATAAAAACTTTGTATCTCAGGATTAAGACGTGTAGTCTTTAATATCTTATTTCCATTCTACTTCATTTCATTTTTTACTCTTGCTTGAAGCGTTTATGTAATCTTGGTTGTAAATTAAAATGTCTTTTCTTAAGACTTTCCAATTCCCTGCATTTTAAGAACAATGAAGATAATTTTTAAGGAAATTATCATTATTTTTCATATACGTAACAAATATGTGAATCGTCATTTCTGCCACGTCTACAAATTAACATTGTTAGTAGCTGTATTTTTATCTGTCTTCTTATTTGTAAATGAAAGAAATGTATGAGAAATTGCAAAGATTAATAT